CACCACCACCACCACCACCACCACCACCACCACCACCACCACCACCACATTCAATCTGCTTACCGATTACAGACACGCACAAACCCCCTAATTCTCTTCGATTCATTGTCACTCATTCAATTACGCTCTATATTTCATTAACGTTTGTGCATTATAGTTTCGGCGCTAAACCCATTTACTTCATTTTAATCACCCCTAATCGATTTACCAATCAACTTAATCAAGTGCATCTTGTTATCGTGTCTTGCTGTGTGCACCAATTGGCGAAAGGTCGTTTGACTCGCCCTTGGAACGCAGCGTGTGCCAAAACGGCCGGTCCACAGCCCCAATGACTAGACCATAATGCGTTGGCAGACTGTAGGACACGCGGGGTGATTTACGTTGTCTGGTCGGCCGCAGCGTGGCGCACGCGTCTTCGCCCGGCTTTCCCTCTCCCTCCCGCCCGCCCGCCTTCATCTCCAGCTTGCCGCCGTCGAAATACAAACGCTGCGCACTGTGTCAAACCGTTTCGGTCCAATCTGGCTGGACTTGGGACATTTTTGCGTAGATTTTGGTGCCATTTCTCTAACTTGTTTATGGTGCTTTCCAGTTGTTCACCTCTGACAAATTGCTCACATGTCGAGAGTCAATAGGCAGGTCTTAAAACCGCGGCTAGATACAAGAAGTTGGTTGAAACGAGTAGAGCGAGGGGTCAATGATTTCGATCAGTCAAAAGACTTGGAATACACAAAATCTAACGGATTTGTAGAGGACTGATGTGGATGACCTAATAACACAGGCAACGATAACAAAGGAAAAGTGCACATAAAAAACGAAGGTCCAACAAGTGCATTTGATCTGATTCCGCCGAAGCTGGAGGTGAGCGATTGTTTTGCTAAAGGTTGTTTGTGCCAAAGTAACGATTAAGTACACAATTTCATCATTCCTTCGTTTTCCGTATACCAAGTCACCACAGTTGGGGGTCTTTGCGGTAGCAACTAAAATATTCGACTAAATGGCCATTGTTTCGATGTTGCAAGTTAATTCTTGAATTCATGGACTAGCATCTCACAATCGAGGCACGCGAATCACTTGCTTTTGGGTAAATTGATCAACTCGTTTTGACCACGCGACCCCACAGGTCAGCACCTCACTCCAGTCTGCCAACTGTCATGTTACGTGGCACTTTGACGCAACCAGGTGTGAGACACGACGTGGCACTAGCGTTAGACGCGTTGAACATGGTGTTTGGGTGATCTCACCACGCAGTGCTTCCTTAACCTCATCTCCTGATTCGAAATATAAGAGAGGAATATGTCAAAAGTCGCTGACACCCATCAACCCGAATGCACCTCTGTCGTCTACGACGGAGGCACTAGTCTGAAAGGCATGTGGTGCAGTAAGAAGGAAGCATGAGTGACTCACAATAAGCCTGATTGATGTTGGCAGCTCCAAATTCAATGTGGTTTGCATGAATGTGCTCTGAGCACAAGCGTAAACATCATTAAGGCAAGGTGCTGTTGGCGAGCATTAAAAGTGCCAGCCATTGCAGTAAGGATGCTGATTGGTGTATCGGTTAATGCAGATCCCGAATCACGTCAAATTCTGCACCGAGACATGTTAGTTGACGAATCAGACACGCAGTTACTGCTGTCAGGAAGTCTGGTGTTAGGGCTGGTGATGCATCATCAGCCCCACACCAGATGCCAAGCTCCGCTGCATTCTCCTGTGAAATAACACAAATCGGCCCTATTTGGTTCGTCAACTCAACTGAATCGAAATGCAGCTAAAAATTGCCCCGGTTATTTGCTGTAGAAAAGTGAGCACAGTGAGTGGTGTAGTGCAATAATGAAACAGACTAGTTGGCATGAAGCGACCTCAAAGCGTTGGTGTAAGTGCTTTTGGAATGCGGTTGCACTCCAAGTGACACACCGGTCCGGCATTCGGACTCGTTCGCATCTTCGATGCATTCACCTCAAAGTGTACCGAATGGCAGCAAGACGTGCAATTTCGAGAAGTCAGTTTTTTTATGCCAAGCCGTCATTTAACACAACTGCACAATCAGCAGCTATTTGGAAACACACGCCTTTCACGCTAACCTACAATCCTGCAATTGGTACCATGTTGTCCTTGCATCGAACACGATTTTTCAATGACCTACACGGTGTTGAGACGCCCCGTTACCGAAACAAGCTTGTCGGCTGGAAACAACGCGTGTTCAAACGTGCTAGGTCGTAAGTTCAGCTGGTAATCACACATGAACTGTTTCAGCAGGCTGATCAACGGAGAATTGGATGGAGTAATTATTAGGCGCTTCGGAATTGCGCAAAACGTGTAATTTTGCAGCAATTAGCGGATTTCATGGTGCTGGGAATCAAGGAGACGCCTCTTTTGCATTGCACTCGTGCCTTTTTCTTGCACGAATCCACACCGCGATTCTGCCACGGCACGGTGACCTCCGGCATTTGAACACTGACAGATCCCACACGCAGTCACGTTCGAGGCAAGACGGGTTCGTGACTTCGCTTGCCAGAAGTGAACCAGTGGCATTACCTGGGAATGTGGGTTGATGTGTGCACTTGTCAAGCCATGCCAAACTGACCTACCAGTGAGGATTTGTGGTTGTGGTGGTTTGAAATAAACTTGGTTTGATCCCTATTCGACGATTCCGTTCGCAGCATCCCTGTTTGTGGGGTTCAAATTAAGCGATTATTGGAAACATGACGTCTGTTGACGCATCAAATTAAGACAAATCCTCTTCGAGGCAACGCTGATATGCAGATGACGTGAAGCTGATATGACTCCCACTCGCGAATGTGGTTTTTATTTTCTAAGTATCCTGGACAAATTGAAGTCACAAACTCCAGGCATGTTGAAACGTGGCTTCCGTGATACCAACTCAATCATGGTTTAGCCTATCAAATACCTCTTTAATAAATAGACCATTGTGGGGCCGACGCAGCTAACAAATCAATAGCGATTCATAGAAGTGTTTTGTGGTCGCAATTTCATTAACAATCAAGATTTATTGCACTTTTGCCTTTCGCTATGATTTCTAGGACTGAATCAGGCAAATTTGAAGTCATATCAGACGTTTGTGTGTCCTAGTATCCACTTTTTAGGAGTAAAACAACGCCACTACTCAGGAGAGTTCTAGGTTGAAAGGCAAGTTAATGCGTGGGTGTTTAAATTATGAAATAAAATATTTATGTCCAACTGTTCTATCACATGACACGGTCACACACGGCCACGGACATTGAGCGCATTAAAGCAGGTGGTGCTGGGGCAAATGAGGACGCATTGAGGCAGGGCTTGCCTGGAGAACACACGCACGCACGATTCAGGCACGTATTGTCGCGTTAATTGGCCTTCAGAGCCAGAGTGGGCTGGAGGTGTGGTCGGGTGTGGAGGCAGCCCCTCCCGTTGGGCCACGTGGTTTGCCACAGCAGAAGCAGCAGAAGGGAAAGGAGCTGATTATTCCACCACAGGTGTGAAGCTTGGAAATGATCCGGCACATATCTTCGAGCAAGTCCACGTTTAATTAAAATACATTGCCTGTTTCATGAAGAAGAGGCAGGCGAAGCTAGAAATGCACTGGCTTGTGAACTCACTACCTCCAGGCTCGTCGCGGCAGAAGTGGAAGAAGCCGATGCCACCACAATCGTGACACCGGAAACGTTAAGATCAGATGCATGGGTGATCTGACACGTGTATTAGACTTATCTGCAGCTTAACTGCAATGCGAGGGTCTCGGAGGTGTGAGATCCCTTGAACCGTCTGCTGTCGGGAATTAGGGACAAATTGTTCCTTTGATTGCGTGTAGTGGATGGCCCGATTTCGCAAGGTTCAGTTGCTAAATAACCGTGCCGAGTTTACAAACATGGCTGGAATGGTTGAGATATAATAACTCACAGCTCAAACAAAGTCAGGATACATTTTAACTTCGAGTTTTGTCATCGATGCTGTGGTCTACAGGCAGATAGAGAAAATTCTCTCTGTTCTACTCAATATTTTCAGTACATATAACTAATTCTAGACTACGAATGAACAAAGTAGTGAGCTGTGAAATTGGGGAGGGAAAATCACTCACATCGGCTTGTCGAATTTCGCTGTGGTTACGTTTAATTAAAGATAATGAACAATGGATTTGGCGACACCGAATACCTCCTAGACAGGCATTAAGCAGGGCACAGCTATCCTCTATCTTGCCTAAATATTCGACTATTGTAAAATAGAATTGGTCTTGTTTGCGACATTTTGTGAGTGGATTTAGCCGGCCTGTGCCATCGCTGTCAAGGAAGAATTTGGGCAAAAGTTGTTGAGATTAAATTCTTAGAGGGATTGCAGAAAATTGCTGTGCTAAATGTGGAAAATGTGCTGTCAACTGCAGAAGCTGAAAACGGGAATCCAAAGAAACTGACAAATAATAAAGTGTCACAACAAATTCTCATGGGTGACTCCTCATTAATTCATTTTTCCACGTGTTTGAAGAACTACCCAGATAGAACTCAGTTCATTTCGAAAGCTGGTGTCCGAATTAATGGTGGATGACTTCTACGGGATTTGAGGATGTGTTGGAAACTTACCCAGCAGATGGCATTTTAGTCCTAATTAGTGATAGCAACCTTGGTGGATTACTGAAAACTGGATCGAAATTGCTCTTATAAGTACAAAACGAAAAGAGATCGCTAAAAGAGGACAATGTATTCCATCTCCCACGAACTTATCCCAATGGCATTCTGTCATCTTGATTGATTTTTGAACGACCTTCACGCTGTTTCTGGTGCGCAAGCCCACAATTTTCTGATGCCAGCATGGTGTCCTCGTTCGATCATTTTGCCTGCCTGCCTTCGGGATTACCCGCTTGATCTGCGCTCACACAATTCATTGCTCATTCGGAGCAGCATGTTTGACTGCTCAGGGGAAACCGATAGCCTGGTTCCATGTGCGTTGCTCGTGTATCGAAAATCAATAGCCCACTCTCAAAGCAACGAAGGCATCCAAGTGCTCTTCGTCTTGACCAGTTTTTAGCCTTCGATGCAGCAAAACACATTCCGAGAACACTAGCAGATTATGTCGTACCCCGCCATTCTTGCATTAGACCCACAATGTGGCTAAATGTACGGTTGTTATTCACATAACAGTGTTATTTTTAAGCACGTTTCCTGTTCATCCGTGTGTGGTCATGCTCAGACAGGTGGAGATGCCGTCTGTGATCTTGTAGGAGACCAGGAGGCCCTCGAGGAAACGCTTTATTGATTGAGGGTGAGTTTTGTGCAGCCGCACACTTGACCCCACTCTGAAGTCATGCTTATCAGTAATCACAGCTAAGTCCAGTGAGAGGTACTGCAAAACAGGAGTCTTTTTAATCTGGCATGTCGAAGGGAATGCGAGTTGTTCGTTTGGCCTGAATTTTAGCACACATTGTGAGGTCTTTAACTGATCTCACACGAGGTCTGGGTTGAAGGACAAAAATGGGAGAAATTGTTTGCGCACAAAACCGAAAACACTTTCTCTTGCATGCAAGATGTCCAGTGTCCCCTCAATTTTGATTCGTGAATGAGGGTGTGACTCTTTGCAAACACAATTATCCAATCGGCTCTCTCACACTGGGGTTCCTTTTCGAGCAACTTCTTTTCTCACAGTCCAAATTGATGTCTTGAAAGCACTCAAATGTACCCAGCGGAATTCCCCTCACACACTTGAGCAGTACGTTTGCCTGAGTACACTCAGAAAGTGCTCTGCTGGTGTTTAAAACAAAGGGCTTTCTATGACGAGCTCGTGCTGAGGGCGAAAAGCCTTAATCTGCAGCTACAATGAGGTGATGTAGACAATCGTAAGTCAGTCCTAAATGCTGCATTCAAAATATCGGCATGCCGAGAACTCCAACTAGGTGTGCCGACTCATTCAACGTAACCAATCGTACGAGAGGTCTCGATAACCTTGGTTTGCAGTGAAGCGAGGCGCGTAGTGGTGAAGGCTGCGGTGGAAGACAACTTTTACTTGTGGTAAGGGAGTCCCTGCAGGCCCTGTCATTCACCGACGCACAAACACACGTACACTCGGCAACCCACGCACAATTGTCCAAAAACAGAGACAGCAATGTCCGCTAACCCGGTAATTTGACTCATGGGGTTGTGACCTTGTCCTGGAAACGAGGTCACTGTGAAGGAAGGAGAAACAAACAACAATTACTATTTCAAATAGCTAAGGTGGTGCCAACCATGAAAGGAGTTGCTGGCTTTTGGCAGGTAATTAGACCCTTTGGAACATGACCCTGAATGATGCAGAAACAACGTGAACGTAGCTCTGGTGCTGCTTGGAGTGAGGTATACCTCTAGAGATGGCGCTTTTGGTGTTTGACAAAGTGTTGTCTGTGTTCGGGACGCAAATCACTTGTTCTACGGAAACGAAATCCTTCAGAAGCGACCACTTTGTGTTTCAATGATGTACCGCGTTCCGACCGCTCAAGGAAGGGCTTCGATGGGAACATTTGGAACGGATTTTTCAACTTAAAGCAACGCTAATACGTGGCGAAAGTTCACTGAACAGATTCCGTAAGAAGCCAAAAATATCGTTGCTCAACGCTGTGAGCCTACTCATGGACACACATCGGCGTTCCTGCGGAGGAGCGACTGTGAGGACTCTTGGGGAATCAGCCAACCTTCAAACACTTTGACGCCATCCAATACCGCGGTTTCAACAGAATCGAAGAATCCCAAGGACAGGTTATTCTGCTGCGCTTGCATGGCTGAGAGGGTTTGACCAACCTTCCATCAAAGTGCCTACAATTCCACTGGCCTTAAGCCAACCACAAGTCATTTCACTCGACGACGACGGAGATTTCAACTTTGACGAAACGCGATGCCCTCTTATTGGTGGAGAGGCAGGAGGGCGGCACAAACCGTTTCGGAGGAAACGAAATCAATTTAATTTTCCTTTGCTCGCAGTATGATGGCTCTAAATAGCTGATATTAGACGGACAGCATTACAACCCGAATCCATCAATGAAAATTTCAGGATCTCAATTAAGTACCGTACCTTCATTAATCATAAAAACATATTTTTTAGTGAAATTGCCATTCTGAGTTTGCAACTAAAAAATTTAAATATTAAGAATCAGGTCAAATTATTTTAAGTGATAAGGGTTAACCCCCTCAATCGTCGAGAAGAATGTCCGAAACCGTTCAAGTCTACTATTACCAATAATTGCCGGAATTTAAAAAATAGCATATTACTGAATTGGATTTCGTTAAAAACCACATTAAGCAAAGTTATAAACCAGCAGCTTTCAATTTCGTCTCTTAGTATTGATGTCCTCCGTGATCTGATTGGTGCTCATGGTTAAAAATCGATACGCGAAACCTCAATGCACTTATGCAATCAGTCACGCCTGCGCACGTGGGTGCAGACAAGCCAACAGAACAGAGAAACCTGCTGTTTGCTAGGTATGACGAATGCTGGAGAGATGACGCACATTGCAGCTAGGACAATGCCACTGGTAGTCATTAGCTGGGCGCTTGATTTGCCTATCGGACAAGCGAACTGCGAATTCGCGCAAGTTTGGAGGTACTTGAGCAAATTAAATTCAGTAAATCAAGTTGTCTCAACAATAATTGGTCCAAAAATAGCACCTACTTCTAGAAGTGGCACATTATGCCGCGGGAACTTTGGCCGCAAACCAATGGGGGATATTTTGACTTGATTCCTGAATCACAATTCGATGTTAATTTGATTTCGAGGCAGGCCAACAGTTTTTATCAAAGTGTCCCCACAGCAAATGCTGTTAACCGCCATGATTTTCTTCAAAATTGTGCCCTTGAAATCTTATTAGGATCTAGATTTAAACAGCTGCATTCCAGCCTATATAAATGTCCTGGAGACCGACGATGTTGTGTTGTTACCCAATCTGAATAGGTGGACGGTAAGTTGACCTTCCATACGAATGTAATGTTGAACCAGCTTCGACTACCCATTCAGTAGCAGGAGTCATTGTCGGGTCTGCGTATGTCGAAGTATCAAAAATCAGTACCCCTGACGCAATTCAAAGACTCACGGACCTTCATAGTGTGAGAAATGGTTCCGATAATCCTGAACTGAGTCAGCGCGTGCATTATCATTTGCGAGACCGATATTGTACGTACTGTGTCCTGATTATCTGACGTTGTCGAGTTGTGTTATATTTTACAGAAAACCAGCTATTTTTGTCCCCGCTATACCTACCAATTCAAAGCAAGTCTCCTAGTAGCAGTAAACGAACCAACCAACCACAGTACCTGGAGGTGTGCCAGTAGGATTCGGCACTCCTTCTAACGGCATTTTGCAGCTTCAAAAAGATTTTTCATTAAAAATACATTTATGGAAGAATTCGTTTCCTGTTCGTGTTGATCTGACAAATTTTTCCTCCTGCACATTCTGTGTTCATTAAACAACACTGATTTATTTTCCTGTCTATATAGTTTTGGTGAAATATGCTGTCTTTTTCGAGGTAGTTAATAGGAATTCGACTCAAAATAAAGTTGATTTTCCCGGGATTCGCCCTCAAGAACAAGTCGCAATAATAAAACACTTTTCTATTTCACGAATTACTTGCAATTATCTGTAACCCAAACTATATTTATAATGTATACGTCAGGCGAAGGATATTATTGTGGGTGTGTGGTTGTTATCGGTGAAAATGAAGCCTCAATAACAGTGATCATGGCATAAGATCAAAATGGGCATGCAAATAATTGCGATTCAGGGTAAAATTCGTGCAATTAACTGCCGAAACGTTGGAAACTGAGAGGATCTGCTCAGGGGCCGTCAGAAGGTCCAAGTATATCCCGATTACCATGCTTTAAACATCTAACACAACAGATCGTTTTGAGAAAGCATGACGTACATTTGTCATCGTTGCTTTATAACAAAATCAAGCACAATCTCGTTTAAAGTTACCAGTTCAAGGTCATTGTTGCCAAGAAGTGGGGCAACAGCCATTTTCCCCACCCAAATCTGTAAAATCTTATCAAAATCCAATCTTTGGTGGTGTGATCTGGCGCCGGCCACGAGGTAATCCCATTCCCCCGGCTACCAGTTAAATACGCTTTCGCGATTCTGTGGCCTCTCGTCCTTGCAAGCCATCATTCCCGTTCTCACGCAGCCACACCGTCAAATGCTATTCGCGGTCCAGTTGGAGGGACAACGTCAGCCAGAAATGTGTCCAATTTCTGTGCTTCGGGGTCAGTGCTCTGCAAGGGAGTGAGAGCCTGAGTGCGGTCGGTGGTAGGGGGTGCACGCGCACAGGCTCCAAAGAAATTGGAACGCTGGCCCTGTTTGATTAGAGAAAGTGGCTCCAAGATTTCCTCTACACGCACTCCGCTTTGGGTACATTCACTTGTTCTCCAGTTCACGTGTAACAGTTAACGCCTTTTGGTTGGGACTGAACCGGAGTGTTTATTTACCAATCAACGATTAGTGTTTCAACCTAACTAGTTTGGTATTAACTACTGTTTGCAGTGTGACTGTGAATATCTGTTTCAAATAAACTCGTAACGTGGTTGAACTTCCTTGTTAGAATGAGGTTCCAGGCCAAACGCTTAAACTACACTCGTAGATCATCCTCACACCGTAGCGCTGGACTGAACTCCAACCCTAGTGCGCGTCGCATGGCAAACAATTGCACTCTTGGCAACGTGTACAATGAACTAGCTTATTTATAGTGCAAACGTTGACACACGCAAAGCCAACGCAGTGCGCTTGCCAAAGGCACTGGGAGGTGTTTTCATACTCTAGGTTGGTAAGGTTTGTCTGGAACTAGCTCGAATGCAACAGCGGTCTGTCGGGTTGCAAACAAAAGTTGTTTTAACTTCGTACGAAGATAGGGGGATGTGGATGATGGAGTTTCTTCCATTGGAAATTAGCTTTTGTTTGGAGGGTGTCCATGAGCGACAAACGGTTTTTGATTGGTTCGTTCATTTTGCGCGCCCCAAGCTGGAACAAACAAGTGTGCGACACGACTAAACAGGGCTCAATGTGTGTTGACTCGCTGACCCAACAACGTCATGCCGCGGTTTCATTATGCGCGCCAAATGTTGATTACATTACAAGGTCATCGCTATTAACGGCAGTACAGTTGGCTAGTGACGACTACCACAAGTACCAGCATGGCTTATGCATGCATTTGCACCCAAAGCTGAAAATCCCGCTTCGTTTGACGCAACTGACATTTGAACAGATGTGGACGATTATCTATTTGTGTGTGCGTGTGTGTAAATAACAACTACAGAGTTATTAATAGCACGAAAACACCACTTGAAAAACGGACTGCGTGCCAAAACGCACGTGCATAGACGCACAAAAACCCATGTTATTTTTAAGATCGAAAAAGCGGTCCAAAGGTTAATTAGATTGCAAACCATGAGTGGCAAACAAACGAGTATGAAACTGCAGATTAATCACAAGCGAGGACACCTCGTGAAGCTACCAGGCACGGCGCTAGGTGTACCAGTACCCTAGAAATCCTCAACCAATCGACTGCACAAGAACACTGGCTCCAGCAATATAACTGCATATTTCCCTTTTAGTGATGAATAGAACTGCCCTACACAACTATTCCCCACATTACAGAGGTGCGACTCTCACGGTAACTTAAAGCCAAACATCGCAATTAATTTATCACAAAGGGGCCACACAAAAGAGGCGCGCAAAGGGGAGGGGGTTAGCGTCAGCGTTTTCAAGGGGTGCCGGTGGCAGCGGTGGTGGTGGTGGTGGGGAGTTCATGGTAGGATTTTGGCGTTACCGCTGGAGGAACAGCAGCCCGGTTGTAAAGGATGTTGGGGGCACGTGAATCGCGCTGATTGGTCAGTCCTATGGAGGAGTTGGACTCCATGTTGGTGCTGGTGCCGAATGTTGCTGAATGGGTCTGCCGCGCCCGTGATACCTCGCTAAGAGTCACCCAAACACCCTCAAGATTCTCCTTCCAGAGCGATACCTACAAAAAGCAAGTTCCCGTGCTTGCTGTGGTGATCTTTCTGCTTGTCTGCCTTCCAAGCACGTGAATTGATGCTAACTGGAGGTACACCTCTAAGATACCGGGCGCGGTAAACTGGACAAGTCATTTCTAATTATACATTTGCCTTGATTGGGGTGAATAGATACATAGGCACACCTTCAACCAATCACGTTCTCACAGCACTAGAGCAGTTTTGCAACAAGTTAAATACTAATGATACTTATCTACTTCAACGCATACAGAATCTGCGTGGTAGACAACTTGGACTGAGAAATGGCGGTCCGAAAATTCCTTTAACCGTCAGGACTTCGACGGATTACGATTTCAACTTCTGGTGTAGTCGTGCTGATGAAACACAAACCCAGATCCAAACGCGTTCTCCTCAACTCCAATCTCATATCGGGTAAATGTGTGATAACTGCTTGGGTTCTGTTGGCACATTTACACAGGGAAAAGGGCAAATGATACGTCTTTTTTTTCAGCAAAAACGATCACGTGTGAGGGTCTCGATTCGTCGTCAAGGCAAACAGTGCAACAGACTATGTAGCGATTCAGTCAAGCCATCATGTGTTTTTACACACACACACAAGCCGCCTCCCTTGCCCCAGGTATGTGTAGGTTTGCATAAGTACAGCCACATGACGACGAACCGCTTTAGTGCATCATAAAAACAGCCTTACTAACAACGTACAATGCAGGTGCAAAATCAGATGGCAAGTTAGCGCCATACTGACCGTTATGTGCTTAAAAACAAAGAAAAAAATAGGATTGAACTCAGAAAAATCTAACACAAGTGCGAGTGCACTTTAGGGGAAAAAATTGTGGATCAGAAGGAGGAGGGATGGGTTAGATTAAGAAGCGCGATTTGACACATCTACTGGGAGTAGAGAAGAGAAATGGCCCAGCGGTTGACGCAGAACGACCGCGTCAACGCTTCAACCAAACCCCATGTGAATCAGTAATCCGTAAAAAGTGACAGGAAGTCAATGTTTGTCGGTGGAGAACGATAAACTCACAAAAGGAGGTAGAATCGCTGCGTGCGAGAGGGCTCAACACACAAGCTACCACACACTTTCCATATCCACCAAGTGTCGATCGAATTTCGCTTCCCTAGTGGGAATAACTCGACGAACCCCTAGCAAAGTGGAAGGCGTCGTAGACGATGATTCCACCACGAAACACATCGATGCCCCAGAGCTTTCCCTAGACGAGTGGTGTTGCGATGAGCCGAAGAAACAAACTGTACAGAAATTGTGGCTTCGATAGCATCAATCCAGAGAACTTTAAACCCTGGATTTGCCTCAGTCTGGCACGTCACAAGGCACGGACTAGTGTAAAGAGGGGACGTAGGCGTAACAACACTTCATTGTGTTGGGACATTTGAAACAAACCAGCCTACCAGACACGAGTGAGCGTGGACGTGGCAAAATATTCATGAGGACCGTAAAAATTCAAGTCGAATAACACCCCGCATGGTTGTCCAATGGGGATGTTTCCGTTACCCCTTTGGTTTGAAAAAGGCAGTAAGTCTCCGTGATGTAAGAAGGTGGGTGAGCAGGCACAAGATTTGGCGGTGTTACAGTTAAGTTTGGGGGATCTGGGAGAGCGAAGTGTTGAAGACAGATGAAGGAACACTCAGGACGTCCAAATCAACGGCGGAAAATGCAGGTTTTGGCGCCAAGGCAACAAAGACCTTACCATTCAAAGTGCATCATCAGATGCATGGATATTTGAGGAAAACCCTGAGCAAATTGTACGAGGTTTCAACTGAATTCAAGTAGATAACACATTCAAGAGGAGATTTAACCAATAAGATTGCGGCGGTCGATATGAATACCACCAGTGATAAACCAAAAGGACGAGATTTTGAAATCATTGGTTGCGCAGAGCGACCTTGAAAACGATGACACATTTAAAGTAGAGTGAACCAATGAAATCGGGGTGGTCAATATGGTGCACAAGAAGATTGCAAAAAGGAAGGAATTTGTCAGGAAAAGGTCCAAAACTCAACAAAACACGGAAGGATATTAAGTCCCATGGCCAACCGATTTGACAAAATAACGTAGCTAGTAAATTTTGCCGGCAAAAATGACCGTGTGAAGTTGTTCTCGGTAATCAAATCACAAAGATTAAATATACAGTGCCACAACTAAATTCATTATAGCATAAAAAGCAAGCAACCTATGCAATACTTCAAAGTAAGCTAGTTAATCAAGAGTATTCACGCCGTATATACCAGGAATGCACCAATATCAGTATAAACTTGGATACCAAAAACGTGGTGAATATTCAACTGCAGAGGGAGTTAAAGCGGTTGGGCTTAAATTTGTTATTTTCTTGGAAGATAAATTGTCCTTATTTGACAGGGCGTAATTAACCAAGAGGGCGTTCTCAGATACACATGCAATAACCATTTCGGTCTTGAAGGAAACCTCGCACAAGTTTTTTTAGATAGTGATCAAAAAGGGCGCAAAACCGATTGAACCAAGTTTGGAGAACATCGACGATGTGACAGGACTTCCCAAACACGAGTTGGAATTGCCTCAATGTGATGGCGGACGCCATCAAGTCGGTGAGGATTCTCTTCCTGCGGAACTCTGCTGGACACAGCGGTGTGTGTATTAACTGTTGCGTCATTCACAAGAAACGCATAATGAAAGAAGCCTGTGCAATCCCACGCAGATTGCTGGACAGAGATTAGGCAACGGGAAAATTCGATGGACAGACGTCTGGAGAACGTGTAGAATGCTGCAGGATTGCGGAACGAGGTAAAACCGTTACTCTCGTGTAGTGGTTGAGGAAGAAGAGTGCGGTAAATTGGAAGCATACCAACACAGTTCACGCTTGGGAAGTTGTCAATCGAAGTCCCATTGATTCAACTTGCCTGCAGTCGATAGTGTTCACTTGATGAGGAGGGAAACGGACAGAATGGGGAGTGATGACGAATGATCCGATTAAAGCAGATCGTCGCTACTGTTCCGGTAAGGAAAAAAAGATGGGATTTTGGCAGAGGCAATCGTGCCCCGGAGCTTCACTAGCCCAGATCCCCAAGTGGAGGGTATTTAGCAAATCTTTTACTGGCTGCAAGGAAGCAGGACCGCTACTTCAGCGGTGGCACCTTCTTCAGCAAATCACGCAGCCCCGATTAGTTCGGCGAATTGTGCCGGGCGTTTCAGCGAAGTAGAGGCGGTAGCCATAATCGAGAGGTCTTTGGTGATTTTTAGAAAGGGCGGCGATGATTTCGTTTAGTAAACAATTCTGTTCGAACATCGGCAAATGCAGGCGACTGCTTTGCGCTAATCAAGGCATCGAAGAATCAGGCAACTGAAGCAAGCACCACAAACAGAGACGGTGCTAACAGGACACGAGCTCCAACACTTCCACGATGGTGCGCACGACATTCACAGGTTACTGGAAGAATTAAACCGGGTATTGATTCGATTGGTGGATTCCACGAATGCCATTAGGCTGGCAATGGGTGACAATGCTTAACTGTGCATTCACACACGATCGCATTAGGTAAATAAACAACTTTTCTGACATACACACACCCTCTGTGACTGGTTGGAAAAATTGATAACACGTGTCACTAGGAGATGGCGACTTCGGTACAAAATACACCAAGCTCTATCAAGCACTGTTGGTGGTTATTCAAGCGAGATGAACCAATAGTGTGCCTGGAAAGAGCCAAGGCATCAAACACTCACCAACAGACACTAGTGGAACAGTAGCATAGCTCGGACTGCTTCCATTTAATGCAGAATTCGCCCGCTCTGGACGTATTGGGCAGGGGGGTTTGTCCACTCCTCCTGCCTCGCGGTTACAAGTCAGTCAAACTACTTGCCTAGGACTGTGTTCACACTAGAGGCAATAAAAAATTCACCAACAGATTTGCGTGCCCACGAAGATGCGGACACAGCTGCTCAGGTAGTGACTTCAGTTTTGTCCCGATTGAAGATGAGTTAGTGTGATGGGAATTCGGCTGACTGATGGGGCAATAAGTGTGGTTTAATGCGTCACCAGTGTTCAAATTCGAACCAGCTCACGAGATCTTGTCCAATTGGGAAGGCGAATGACTCAGAGCACAAGTGAGGGCAGGAATGGCGTGTGGCCTGAAGGAGTACTTGCTCAAACCACACACAAGTGAGTAATAAAAACACGCATGAGGTCAAGTTGTGTGGGTGCGTGCGACTGTCCTCAGTGTGACCTCCAGCAAAACGGTAAACGAGGACTACATCGCAGAAAGGGTGTATGCTGGGCAAATAGGGAGGTATGACTAGCTAGAAGCGACATTACGGCTTGCTCTAGCTCCAATGATTAGCGGACGTATTAACCGCAGACGCTTATAATCTGGAGCACGTGAAAGGGAGACGAGAGATGCCATCTTTTGTTGATCTTCCACGAAGTCGCACATGCAAGAAACCAAGTTTCCGAGGGGAAAAACACCTTTTTTGGACAGAGGCTTTTCGCGGTTAACTCAGCACGTGACGCAATTCCTGGCAAATGGAACACGCGACAGGGAAAATCTGTCTGTGATCAACAAAAAGTACATGGATGAGCGGATGACGTCTAGCATTCACCGGGGGATTACAAGGCGGCCCACCCCCACCCCTGAGAGGGAAACGGAACGCGCCATTTTCAAACGGCCAACGCCGACTGAGCAAAACTGCAGCACAGTCGTGACAATCCGCCTTCTGAAGGTCATTGCAATTTCCCAAAGAGACCAATCACAGATGAGGGGCCAGAAATCGAAACAGGCCAAGACAATTCACTCAGTCGATTGTTGCTGTTCCCATTCCCTTTGTATAAGGAGGCGCCCATCTTCAGCACTGAAGTGCTCAATAATCAATACGATCAATACAGAAACAACTACCACTGACAATTACCCAATAGCAGTCGAGTAGTATATTGTGCATTTCATACGAGAGGTAAAGCCTACGTAATAATGGTGCCGGGAAAATACAAAACACGCACCATTTTGAAATGCGTTCACAGCCAATGTATATCGCAAAGGCGCTGCAATGAGTCCTAAAATGTATCACCGCGCAAAAGGGACATGCATGCCCCGTAAAAGATTAATATTGCGTCTGCATTTGACCAATTTCGACACAAAGTGCCCAGTTCCTCTGATAATTCGACTCCTGCAAGGCAGCCGGAGCCGTTTTTACATGCCTCGAGGATGGCTGACCTTTGACTACAGTCCCAATTTGTAGAAGAAGTGACGTGTTAGCTTATTTAGAGGGGATGTCTGACCATGTCGCTACAAGTGGACCAATCGGATTTGTCCTGGATGTGTCCGAAGGGTGGCGAGAGTGCTGAAGTGCGCTCGATTCAATGAATGCCGGCAACAATGGCGACGTGAAGGCGGAGCCAACCTACTACTCAGACCGAGATCTCTGCAGGCGTTCCGGCTAAAGTTGCCTTCCTGACACGACTGACGCCTTAGTGGCCCTCAACTCTCCGCAGTTGTTCTCAAGTCGGAAAGTGAAGATGCTCAAGACTACTCCACCAAAAGTACGTAACAAGTTCATTGCACATTGCTGGCGGAATCGCATGATTAATGACTCAATCTATGGCGGTACAGCGGTTCCTAAACGAAAGTGTTTTCAAATAGAGGACGTGACTGCAGTGAGTCTAAAAACTACCGAGTCGGACAACATCAAAGACAGGAAAATGGAGAAACAAGGAAGGAACGAAGGAGGAAGCTTCTCCAGTTTTCCGACATCACACTAGGAACTCCACCATTTATTTTATGTGGACGATGATGCCTGTCGTCGGAGCAGTATCAGCAACTAAAAGGTAATTTAACCAACTTCACACGAGCCGCGATGTCGGGCAGAAAAAGAGCGCGAACGGTGGAGCAGTCGAGAGGACCAAACGGGCTTCCTTGCTGCCACCTCGGGTGGCGGAAGGGCAAGCAAGTTAGTCCTTTTAGAGAGCGATTCAACCCTACGGTAGTGCGGGACCAAGAACAAGACCTGAAAGCTGTCCATCAATCAAGGATGGTTCGAGGTAGGTGGGTGAGTGGGTGGGGCAGAGGGCGGCCGGGCAGGCAAAGTCCCTTTGTAGTGAAGAGTCTGGGAGGACTATTAATTGGAGGAATTCGTTTGATGGCATTCCAACACACCGCGTCTGAGCTACGTATGTGGGCCATTAAGGGATCCCGCACGCGCGCGCGCGCGCACGAACACCCACGGAGCTAACTTAGCACCTAGTGCTTCGTCAGATTCCAAAATTGACATTCCTTTGTTTGGGAGCTGGCAAATTGGGGACACGTCGTCTTGATGTACATCAACTCAACCCCTTGAAGACCGGAATTTGAGGAAATTTACACAATTACACAGAGAAAGTTCACAATGCGTCGGTGAAATTGACGACATGCTGGATAGGCGAGGAGGCTCCTACACTCACCTTGTTGTCGCCGCCGGAAACAGCGAGGATGTTGCCGGTGAGGGACCAGGAGACGTTCCAGACGACGTCCGGGTAGGTGGCCAGCACGACGGGCTTCCAGTCCTCAGGTCCAGTGATCAACTCGTCGGCCGTGGTGGCACCGATGCGTCGCTGGGACTGCCACACGATGACTCGACCGTCCTGGCCACAGCTGGCGATCTGTTGACGCGCCAGAGACAGTGAGGGGCACCAGGCCACGTCGCGGACCCAGTCACTGTGACCGTTCTCCAACTGCACCTCCTTTACCCAATTCCGACTTCCATTCTCCTCGCTTGAAGGCAGGGAGAAAAGAGCAGTTAAGCGTGAAAGTCAAGTTCCTTGACTGAGGTACATGACTTCCACATAGTCGAAAGGAAAGGCATGCAGGTGTGATAATTATACACAAGGCGAATCTGCCGAAGGCAATGAAATAATGCCCCTCGCAAGAGGGCACAAGACTGGTTCGCAAGGCCATAATTTATGAGCCGTCAGTTCAAAGTCAGGTCAGTTTCCCCTAAAAGTCCGCTTTCAGTTAAAAGTTTAGTTATCCTAGCTGGAGATGAATCAATATTTTCTGTTAGCAACCAAACTCACTTACGGGGGAACTAAAGACTAAATTTAGGTGTCCCTGAGTTCAATGGTCGGCAGTAGTGCAGCATTACCACCGAATAAACGATGAGCTAGCGAAGCATTTAATAATGAGATCGCAGGTAAGTAAGTGTGAGGAAGATTCGACCAAGGAGTTGGGTTGCAAGTTGTCGCAGATCCTAGCCGATCCAATTGTGTCATTTCCTAACGATAGCATGGAACATCCTCCATGTTCTCTAGACTTGGCTTAACTGGTTTTCCATGTTTTCCTAACCACTGTCCAGCAATCTGCGTGGGGTTGCAAAGGCTTCTTTCATTATGCGCTTCTTGTGAATGACGCAACGGTCAATACACACACCGCTGTGTCCAGCAGCTGCATCGACTGAACAGAGTTACGCAGGAGAAGCGACCTCACCGACTCTACGGCGTCCGCCATCACATTGAGGCAATTCAAACTCGTGTTTGGTAAGTCCTGCCACATCGCCGATGTTACCGAAACTTGGTTCAATCGGTTCTGCACCCTTTTCGATCACTATCTAACAACATGTGCGAAGTTCCCTTCAAGACTGACATGGAGTTAAAGCGTACTTGGAAGGCTACATCGACTCAAATCCCAGAGATGCTTACTTCAAAGACTTCGAAAAACTTGTTGACCGTGGGAGAAAGTGGCAAAGAACAATGTGGACTACGTCAATGACAAAAGAGCCTTTTGTTACCAGTTAAAAGCAAGTTTGTGCCCACGCAGTGAATGCATTTTATAAAACCGCAACTAAATTTTCCTCAATCCAACAGTAACGATTTCGGTTTGAAGTTGGAAATGGAGAGGGGATGAGCCCTAGTGTATTTATTCCGACTGGGTTGCGCCAATTTGCAGAATACTCCGGGGTTCGGACAATTAATGCAACTGAATTCGACTTCAATTCAATTAAAACCGCAATCACGATTTCCCATAGCACAGCACCATCTGTGCTTACACGCCCTTATCATGCAGGCCCAAAAATATCAGACAACAATTAAGAGATGGCGGCAATTTGCATTAGCAACTTCGAGGCTTCACTAGAAAGGCTATTTTTACACAGCGACAGCATGCAAGGGCGTGTAGGCGTGTTACATACCAACTTTAGAAACCAACATATTTTTTTATAGCAAAAAAAACAATGTAACTTCTGGGTCTTGTGCAATTCACATTGACGAACCCCCAAACCCAGTCACAAAGAGATTTTCAGTGATTACCAGAGTGTGCTTATCAATGGGTGCAATAAACAACGACACCGTTGGTTGTGGACAGTTTGGCTTGTCCCATGGGGAACATCAAATGGAACACCCAAGTAATGATCACAGCCAGGACACGCTCGCTGTGACCTCAACTCCTCATCCAACCGACCCGAGGTCACGTGATACTGGACGTCCTAAACGAAATGTGATTCACCAGACGAAGCACCAATCGGAGCACAAAGTTCCGCGCAGAAACAACATTGCTGGAGACAGAGGATACAAACCAATCACCAACACCCAAATGGACCTTAAGGACCAATCAGGATTCACTGGAGCGAAAGGGAAAAAGCAACTCAACGGCGCGACCCTCAAACCTCGTAATGCTCATCTAGTTTACTAGTCACTGGTGTTAACCAGCTTGCTTGTTGCCGCTCCGCGTGCGCCTTTGATCTACGCGCGACTGCCTCGTGGGCCAAATCCGTGCGTTGTGTTTACAACTAGCTGGGTATCTTCTGGCTCGTCTTGTTGCCCACATGAAATAGCTGCACGCGTTGCGGCAACAGATGTGATTGGCGGATCCAGGGTTGGGTCACACCACATACAACAGCTTGCCTGGGGCTAAATCTACTAAAATGGGTGTTTTACCAACAGCCAGGTGGACAATAAAGTAATGCTACTTGAAGGATTGTGGCCGTAGGAAGTAGCGGCGACAACTCATGTTCCGTGCGTCAGTGTGTAGCGATGGCAGTGACCTTGCAACAGTCCAGGCATGTAATTGTCGTGGCCCCTAGATTGTTCTACAAAGGTTTCGGTAAAATTTGGCCCTGATAGAGTTCATTTATGGGTCTAGTCGGTCGGATACGTCGATAACGCGATGCTGGTAATACTCAAGGGAATACCTGATTGGTTTAGAGCAATCTACACAGTTATCGATAATCGATTGGTGTTCTAGCGGAGGCGATTTTGACGTTGAGCATACTTCTGAAAAGAAATCAGTAGTAAGGAGGAGAAGGAGGAGGAGGAGGAATAACACCCAACTTACCGCCAAATTTTGACGAGGAAATCGCAGCCTCCAGAGACGATGCGTTTGACGAGATTGCTTGCCGCCTGGCTGATGGATGGATTGAGCATGAAGTCCGCATTGATGGCTGGTGCCCAGGAGATGGCGTTCACGCCAGCCTGCAGCGAGACAAGATGGTAAAAAACAGGCCCCTGTTGGGCTGTGTACACCGAAGTTATTGGGAAATGGGTGACTTGGCGGTGAGGTAAACAAAGTCTGGGGAGACCGGGTAAACACACTACCTCCTCCCAACCCCCACTTCAAACTCGCCTCGCTGGGACAAATGGCAGGCAGATTAGATGTAGGTGGAAGTTGACCAGGTGGGGACAACACCACGGACTACTACTGCGGCACAAATCGATTAGCGCGGATGAGAAAGACAAGACGTCTCAATTGGGGGCACGAGCGTGTTGGCCGCCTTTTCCGGTAGAAAAGGGCGCGTGAACAGTGCCCCCGCAACTGCAAACAAAACGATACGGTAGGCTCGGAGGCACACAAAAGGCTACGCACACGAGGATGAACAACAAAAAAGGAGTGTAGGCGACCACAGACACAACAAGTAAATAAGACGCCAGACGGAAGATGCTTCCGTGAGGCTGCTTTTGGCGGCGGACGCAAGATGCGGGTGGGTGGGGTAGGGGTGGGGGCGGGCGGGCGGGTGCGTAGAGGCGTGGCAGGAGGCTGTTTGTGTCGGCAACACGGCATGATCAAAGAGCAGGGCAGGGCGGTAAAGGAGGAGGAAAAGGTAGACAAGTCCGGCGGTGGAACGAAGTAAACATTCCAGACAGGCGCATTAAAAGCGTCTAGACGGCGCGTAACGATGACGATGCTGCCGGCGAGTAAAGAGGGGCCTACCGTCAACAAGAGGGCCTCTCTCTGGCGATTCAATCGTTGTCGCTGGTTCTCAAGGAGATGGTAAAAAAAAAGGGAGTGGCTGTGTGGTTGCTACTGTGGGACCTGGACTAGCCGGACACGACGTGGTGGCAAGAGCAGTAGGTATTTTCGTTGACCTTCATAAAAGCCTTGATTCCGGCCCACGAAGTACTAATTAGGTGCTTTTTTCGTATTTCTCCGTCAACTCCAATACGTGGAAATGAGTAACATTTCACCCCAAGTGTTAAGGGTTGGTGGGGAAGGCTGGTGGAGCAACAGAAAGGCAATTTAGAACGCAATCATAAGTACACAAAGCCTGGAGGCTCGGTTTTGACGAAAGAAATCGCAACACAAAACTCCAGTCGCGCCGCAGAGCAGGTGAGTTTGGGAGGAGGGGGAGGAGGAGGGGAAGGCGGGGATTATTTGCTTCCGGACGCGCAAACGTGTCTCCTCAACAACTTGGACGTGTGGAGAGGTCGCGAGATTTCAAGAGGCGAGACCTCGCACCGCCGACTGAAGAATCGCAATCCAAGTGTCCTTCCTGATGACCCAACAACAGAGCAAACGACTTCCAATAGGCTCAGGTCGAAGTTATTCACATAACCAGAAAAAGGTGGTACTTATTTCAGAATTAGTAGATTCACTAGTCCTTCGAGCAGCGCATGTCAGCCCAACATAGGCAAACCGGACTCCATCCCAGCGCACAAACTTCCGGCACTCTCGGAACTGACGGCGATGAGAACGCTGACTTGCAAATTACGTGAACCCACGAGGATTGGATGGGCCGGTGGGTCTAACCAGGCCGGTGGTGGGCCAATCTTGGGGAGTGTTCACGAGTGGAAAATAACACCACATGTGGCCTGATTTGCGGACATGAGGGGAAAGGCCTGCCCACTTAGGGTTATCTTCAATTAGCGGAGTTTTTTTTGCACTGGCATTTAGAGGTGGGGCACAACAGCGGTCTTTCTGGCACAAAATATACAAGGGGGCATGAAGTGAGGGTTTAGACTGCATCGTTAATTAGTCAGAAAGAACTGCATTTACGGAAGAACTATCACGTCTGGCTCGTAGAAGCCGCCGATTTTAAGATGAAGGCGTGTTAGCTTGGATGCAGGAATTCATTGCGTGTGTGGAATTATTCGATAGCACGTGTTTAAAGACCTACGGTTCCGCTTCAGCTAAATGACACTTTACGTTGGCGACTTACAGAATGGGCGTCGGGGATTTTCGCAGCCTCCCAGTTGCCGGAAGATGTGCACGTCAAAATTGAGATGGAGCCGTCTGAACTGGCACAAGCCAAGACAAGACCGTATTCGTGGGGTCCCCAAGCCACGGCGTTAACTGAAACGGGAAAAAAGAGCGTAAATTAAAGTTAAGGAAAGATTGCGTGGATACTACGGATACCTGAGCTCTCGTGTCCAGTGTACTCGTAGACCTTGCGCCATTTGCCGTCCTCTTCGCCCCAGATTATTACACTACGGTCGTAGCTGCATGAAGCAAGTAGATTGCCGTGAATTGGGTGAGACCAGCTGAGACCCCAAACAGGACCTTGATGACTGGAAAGGCACGAAATTTAACTGCTACTTAATTATATACAGTAGGACAGCGATTATCGCAGTGCAAAATAAACTAACCCCCGGAGTTCAGCGACAAGGTTCTGTTTCTTGTCTTTAACATCGAACAACTTTATCGATTCATCTGAAGAACAGGTTGCCAGGGTTGTACCATAATAATTCATTTGGGCATCATGCTAAACGAGTCAAGAGATTAAGAAAAGGAAGAACAACTGACTATAATATCTTCATGGTTAGTGTCAACTGTTTGGTAAACGGAAACCTACAGGAAAAAAAGAAGGAATAAAATACCTTGAAACAAACATCAAGTAATACCTTCGAATTACAAAACAAGGCAAAATTTGAAACTAGACGTTAAATTTATTGCATACATAACTTAAAGTTTAAATAAATCTAAGACAAAACCAACGGGACACACAAGACCAGGCGCCGAATCGTAACATTACACTAACTAAAACCTCTAACTTAATGATAGCACAACACTATCTCACAATGCATTTAAATTCGAACTTTAAAAAAATGTATCAGGCAAAAGGCTAAATCAAGTGGGATCGTCGGTTAACATAGCAGCATTCCCCAATAGATACAAAGTAGCAGATGCTTCTTAGACTCGCATTGCACGTACTCAACTAAACAATATTTAATCGCATAGTGGTTATGAAAGCGCAGAAAGTTACTTGGCGATTTTATAAACCCAATGACTGTGGATAAAAATATTAACAACAACGAGGCAAATATTTGGTTTAAACTGGCCATGTGACAGCAAAAAATGCTAAATTTTCATTACTTCGATCAAAGCAAAGCTGGTCACGTAAAACGTCAACAACACAAAAAAATTGGCAGAGCGGGCAATGCATAAAAACACAGAAAGAACAAAAGTATCAGGATTAAAAAAAATTGAAAACTAGAAAATAGTAACTAATGATGAGCTACCATTATTCGACGACCACTTTTGACAAAAGCACACACGCACTCAAATGTTTGTATTCCACAACAAATACCATTTAGGTTACTTAAACACAAGCAAGCAGTAAATCAAAAAGATTTTTTTGATTGCTAGTTGCAATTTTTAGCTTAAAATCTCTGCTGGAAAAAGTTTTTTGACAATTAATATAACTAAACTAAATAAAATAACTACGTTAAAATTAAAACTATGTTATTTTTAAATTAAGAGACAGAAGAAGATTGCTTTCAACAATACAACAAGCAACATGGGTTCATATCTACCAGAAAATTCGCAAAACAATTATTTTCGATTTTTTTCCCGTGAGACAGTAGCAGATATATTTTTTCGCATGAAATCCAAGTTGAAATATGCGTTCATATCCTTCAGTAACATATAAATTCTCCTTAAATTTGCGGTTTTAATTTTACTTGCAGTCCAATTATTAAAATTGGCACACAAGTGGGCCAGCAGCTTCAATTAAAATGACTTAAAAGGTTACCGTTTTTTGTCAGTTTATTAGGTTTTTCTTTTTAGCATGCCTTTTGTTATCGTAATAAATGCACATTTAAAGAAATTATCGAAAAATTGCCATGTCAAAATTTGTAGAAGCATAAATGTTTAAACAGAACACAGTGCTCTGAAGTTCATGCGGATGAAAAACCAGTTTATACACTCGCCCGCAGTTAAATTAATCTGGACCAGCAAATAAAAGAATGAACTTATGTCGGTAACACATTTTTTGTCGAATTTTTACTCCATTTATGGCAGGTGTGACGATGCTTCGCCTGCGTATTGCTGCAACAATAAAAATACATAATTCAGGCATTTTCTTAATGCTCGCAAAACATGCATGGAAACTACAACAGCCATCAAAATAAGTAGTTGGATAAATTTTAAGTAGTTTTGCTGTGTGCATTAAAATCAAAGAACCAAAGTTTTTCAATTGCTAAAAATAATTAACAAAATGTGTCCCTATCTACATTTTGGTTTCGAATTTCAAGTGTCATGGTTTAAAGTCCAGCAAAAAAATGACACTAAAGCAGTCTATGTGGTGCCTAATATATGTAGTGATTATGTAGTATATATCCGTTGTCTCCTTAAACATCTTTGGATCAGGTAGCACTATTGTATTACCCTGTTAGTTAACGATCCATAGCACTTCGAGAAACGATGTAACAGAGGTGATAGCGAATAAAACGATTTCCTTACATTGAACTAATAATGACCTTTATAGAATAGATCATGAATAAATATGGCTAATCAGTCAACGATGACATTCAGTCAACTCGTGAATATACTTTACTCAGGTCTAGTTAATTAAGAAATTTTTCCAACTATCAAAACATAATAATAATAAAAGGGTTTATCTAGCGTATTTTACTAAAAAGAACATAATAGACATATGCAGTAAATATTTTTGCGTAATAGCCCTCTAATGCACATTACGCAAAGATATAAGAAAACATATTTTTAACTTAAGCAATTCTTTACCATAAAGTTACGCCTTTTAGCATTCTAGTCACGAACCCTTTCACGATAATGTTGGGAAAGTCGGTCGTACCTATGCTTACAACGTGATGCTACCAATACTCTAATATTGTAATTTTCTTTTTTTATGTATGATGTTATTGCTAGATAAAAAATTTGTATTTGATTTATAAAAGCAGAGCGCCGACACTTCTAATGATGGTTTTTTGTAATATATTTTCAAAGCACCATAATTTAATGCGCAAATCAACGCATTTTTGCTGACGCTGATTTAAAAAAACTGTATACACTTAAATTAAATTGACTAATTTGCTCATCAACAGAAATGGTCTTATCTTTATGTTGTATTTAAATTGATTGTTTGTTTTCCCATTTTTTTAAACACCTCCGTTTTTCATTGGCTGTTTTGTCATTTCGTATTTTAAGCAGTGTTCTTCCACTACAACTGCCTTTTTTAAACATCGTATATCTGCTTCTTCAAGCTAAATGGCTACGTCCATAATTAAGCTGCATACGTTTTCGGGAGCTGGGGATGGTGGACCACCTTGCTTCTTACTTCAGGTTGACGACTTTTATTGCCTTTTGGATTGTGGGTGGTCGGAGGACCTGCCAAGCTCTCGTATCGCTGAACTAGCTAAATGGGTTAAGAAAATAGACGCCGTCTTGATCAGCCATCAAAGTCTGCGGCACCTCGGCCTTTTGCCACACCTGGTCGGAAAGTACGGCCTGAAATGCCCTATTTATTCAACAACTCCTGTGTACAAACTAGGACAGCTGTTTTGTTATGATGCATACCAGTCCAGATTTCTTTGTGAAGACTTTTCCGCATTCACTTTGGATGACGTGGACGATGCTTTCCAGCTCTTCGTCCAAGTTAAATATCACCAGACAATCAATTTACAAGGGAAAGGTCGTGGGCTTAGTGTCACACCGTTGCCTTCTGGTAATTTCTGTGATTATTTGTACATACGTGTGATTCCTAGGACATATGCTTGGTGGAACGATTTGGAAGTTGGTTAAGGACGAGACTGATATCATTTATGCAATAGATTTTAACAACGAGAAAAGTCGCCACTTGAACGGCGCCGCCTTTGATGCCTGTATACGCCCTAAGCTGCTTCTCATTGACGTTTCTAATGCTCTGTACACTCATGTGGGTTAGATGTTTACTTAACTGACCTATTTATAGGTGGGTCGGAAAGACCGAAATGAGGCCTTGCGCCAGTTGTTGTTAAGGACTCTCCGCCGTGGTGGCAACGTTTTAATCTCAGTTGATACGGCTGGTTACTGTTTAGAAATCGCAAATTTGTTGGAAAGCCTATGGCACAGTCCGGTATGCAAAAAGGTGCACATTATCTAGCTCAATCTAGGATTCCGGTTTCATGGCCTACGGGTTAGCCATGCTGTCGCACGTTGCATTTAATGTGTTTGATTTCACCAAGTCACTGGTCGAATGGATGTCCGAGAAGATACTTCGGACATTTGAAGATCAACGCTGCAATCCGTTTCACTTGAGACACCTCCAGTTATGTCACACTCTTGACCAGCTTGATTGCGTATCAAACCCCAAGGTAAATATCGCTTTGAGTCACTTATCTGTCAATAGGTTATATTGTCAACCGACGCTGGTCTGCGCACGGGGTTCGCGCGTCTCCTGTTTGCGGATTGGGCCGACTCCGAACTCAATACTGTTGTGATTACATCAAGAGACGGTGACTTCCGTGAAGTACGAGACTTCTCCGAGTTTACAAGACAGCAACCCAGTCTTGGAAGACGTCTCATTGGACTGACGAGCGGGGAAGAATGGGCTCGACAGGGGCTTGCTACAGCTCCTGGAAACACCCTTCTTATCCCGTTCACTCTTTCCCAGCGAGTTCCCATTGTCGAGGATGTGGCACCGTCGAAACTAGAAACCAGCAGACGTCCCTCTAATGCAGAACCTGATTCTGTCCAACTTGAAATAAATCCCAAGGGTGACCGTTTCCGTCAGTGTAAGCTTTTAATTGTTCATTACTAACATGGAATTCGGCCCAATGTGGCAATTTAATCAACTATTCCGTTTTGGACGTCTTAGGATTGTTTTGTAGTAGGTAGAAGGTACACTTGAAATTCATTTTAGGGGTTTAATGAACATGTAAAGGGTTTACACTTGGTATAGAATTTTCATAATGATGTTTGGGTTTGTGGGCTTTCAAACGCATATTTTATCCTCATAGCAGCACATGGTATGCCACCTGTCGCTGTTTAATTTCCCGCGTTTCTTGTTTGATGGTAGCAGACAGAATGGGGGAAGAGATCGAGACGCAGTATCCTCAGGCGATAAGGTATTTGACAAAGTAGAAGACGTAGGAATCCCTGTTCGGCTAGCGATGTACTGTTGAATTCATGTGTTTTGGAACTAGATTGATGCTACTGTCTTCTTTAAGGCGATGCGGATCACTGTACTACTGTGTTTCTGCTCCAACCGTCCTCTCTCTACCTCAGTGCTGTCTAGGGGTGGGATTCACCGCAAATGAGCAAGATTGGATGCTATTTCAAGGGATATTATGCCACCGTTGTTTTCTTCAGTTACTAAAGATCAGGATTACCATGACGTTGAAGACGATGATGATGACGACGATGAAGAAGAAGATGACGCTGACGAAAGGCGCATATCGATCGAAGCTTCTAACGGAGACGCCGTAATGACACCCGCAGCCTCGGCGGCGACACCTGGTGCGGTGTCCGCAAAGGCACCCTACGTACCTTACGAATTCGTCATGATGTCAGGCAGTGGCGGTGGTGCTGGGACTGCTGGCACCACTCTTACCCATGGACGCCACATGGCCGGCTACGACATCTTCCCTGGGTTGCACAACCACTCCGGTGGCCACTTCTTCCGCACGGCCAAGCGCACCCAACTCGTTTTCCCAACTACCGAGAAGAGCGTAAGTGCCCTCCACGAAATCTACCACTACTTCAAACCGCCTACCTTCCCGCGCCACAATCGGGAGGTTTTTTGTTCGTTTTAGTTGCAGTGGGATGAATACGGCGAAAAGATAGACACAAGTATCTACCGAATGTCCGCCGAGATAATTGACCCGGAGTACATCAAAAAGCGTGGCAGAAGCGTCAACAGGAGTAGGTTTTTTTCAATGCCGTTTTACTCATTCTGTGCACTTTTAGTTCATAGCCCTAAGCTAAACCGATCACCAGTGTTTGTTCTTCAAATCTGCTTTTAGTTGAAAGTCAGTTATCAAGATAAAAGCACAATAAATGCATCGATTCTTTATCTGTGGTTCCACTGTTCGAAATCCTTACACTTTAATCTATAATAAAAGTGTGTCGTATTTCCCTCACAGGTGCTTCTCGAGCGGCTATTCAGGATCAGACGAAGGTGGAAAACAAGTCGAGATTCGATCTGTTCTCGGCGTCCTCGGAGCAGCTGCTTAACCTCCTTGTGATGCAGAACTCCTCCGGCGCTCCAATAACCCCTGGCTTCCAGATGCCCCAAAACGTCACCACTAAGTGCGTTGTGGAGAAACTGGAGATCCCACTGCGCTGCGAAATCAGCTTCATCGATTACGAGGTGGGATACATAATTCTGGGCGTTCAAAGCGCTCACGCATACGTGTTTAGATCAAATGTAGTGATGAATGTTGCCTCCGCGATTATCTTGTCGTAGTCCCAAATCGAGTAGCCTTTTCCAAAGTACATTCACACAGTCCGGAACGCCAGTGTGTTGACAGGTACGAAACAGTCTGGTGGAGTTTGAGTATAAAAATACCCGATTCGCAGCTATATCTCTGAACTTGTCGTTTACTGGAATCGCCTGCCTCCTTTAAACGAATTCTTCAGGGGATGTTCGAAAGATTGGACTGTCAAGGAATGATGAACGCGACTTACGCAAGTGTAGAACTTTCTTGGGCTGTTGTCAGAGTGTGCGTGGAACCATAAACCCGACGTCACCTAGACACACGTCTCCGACTGAGTGTACTCTGTTCAGGAAGTATTCGCCCTAGAGATGTGGATGCGCAAGTTGCATTTTCTCCGAAGGATTAATTTTCATTTATTTGAACCCTCAGACAGGCTTTGAGGCTGATTAGACCATTCCTTCTACGGATTGGTAACGTTAACCTCGACAGAGCTCGGATTGGTTATTTCAGTAGGAGGTGATCATACCTGAACACCTGGGAACCCAGCAAAAGTGGGAAATTGTTGCATTGCTAGTAGACTAAGTTTTCTTTTGACAGGACAGTTAGGAGCACACCTGAAGTAATCAAAACTTCCTCTGTAAATAACAGCCACCGTTCTTGGTGTGATTGCCCTGCAATTTTGACACTGATGTGATTGATAGCGTGACGTATAACTCCATATCTCTTCTTCTGTATACTATATGTTAGTGCAGTCTTTATCACCTTAAACCTGGTTCACTAGTCGTTCTGATCCAAAAATGCCTTTTTCCTACCTCCAGTTAATGTATTGAGGCAGTCTCGCGTCGCTGACTAAAGCCTCTTACGGAAACACAGGTGCCTGGAATATTACTCAAGCCTACTTTCAAAACTCCAGCTTTGCCTCCAAAATTTGATCTTGTTAACGAGGCTAGGCTACTTACTTTATCACGAAATCGCTTAAGATGGCAACTGCTAAGGTAGGGGGCAGTGAGAACTGCAATTTTTTTAGCTTTTCCATTGAAATGGTTCTTGGGAGCGAAGTTGAACGACTTGAGCATTGCCCAATTCTCCGATGGCGAATATTCGACTCATAAAGGATCGTTTTGCCATTCTGGTCGCTCCACATCCATTGTCAAGACCCACTAAAAGTCCTACGTGGTAGCTCAGCGCTCCACTGCACCAAAACAAGCTCTTCCTTGACACAAAACTAGGCTGTTGCGAAGCGAAGCCGCTGTTTTGCACATGACGCTTGCCTCGGTATATTCTGGGAGCTACAGTTGGGCAGTTTTGTGGTGCGGAACTGCCATCTACAAACATATTTCCGCATCATTCGACTCTTTGTGTTTTCATGTAAAGTTACCTTTAAGACTTCGACGCGGATTAATTTCTTGACACACCACAACACCCTGCTGGTTGCTTTGTTGTCTTGGTCTGTAAGTTCTGTTGTCGCCTCCATTACAGAGCCGATCAGATGGAAGAGCTTTGAAGAAGATCATCACAGGCCTCCGGCCACAGGAGGTCATTCTGCTGGGCTCCACGCGATCCGCCATCGACGCGATGGTCGAGCACTGCCGATCGGACCTCCAGTTGAAGGACGAGGCCATCCACACTCCCTCGGGACTTGATGTCGTGAACTGCACCAAAGAGGGCGACATCTATCAGGTACGTCCGGAAGGCATTTCTATGCAGAACTACCAAGCTAACTGTTATTGCAGATTCTGAGAACTTGTTAATATGGCTTCAATTGGACCATTTTTACGCGCATCTCTAGTTGGACTATATTGTGAGTCGACTCGCGCCTTAGCAATCTCTGTTAGTAGTATGCATCTAAATGATGTAGAATATGCAGTATGAATGCACGCAACCATCAAGCCGTGTCATATTCGCTTAGTGCACGCGAGGATGCAGTCGGCGCCCCACCTCGCTCGTGTCCAGCAGCCTAATTTATGGAGATTTACAGGAGGCTGGATACTCAAGCACCATTTGCCACGGTTATTTGCACCCTCTCGGACGCATTCTTGCGTGATCTACCCAAGTATGAGTCAGACCCAATCAAACCCTTTCATTCACCGAGTTAGATACGCCTCCCCTAATGATACCGTTTGTGCTTGTTTCAGAACTGTGCCGTCTGGCATTGTCCGTAGGGGCAATTCAGTGAAGGATCTAGTTCGTGCTGGATGTGTGGGGTTTGGGGAAGACATGTCACTGTGTACCAATGCTAGGCTGGTTTTTAATTAAAGCAATTGAGCTCGGTCAGGTGTTAGAGTGTAATTAGTGAGAGATCGGCGTTAAATGTAATTAAGTCAACTAGTGACATCAGAAACTCAACTGAATTCGAGTAATGCTTTACAAGTGGCAGTGTGTTGGTGTGCGTTCACACGCATTTCGGCGATCTGCAATCGCGTGACCCATCGTCTCCCCACGCGACCACGAGACACGTGGCCTCGCGTCTGCTTGACCAAGTCAGTGAGTAATTATGAGGTGGAAAGACCACATCGACTGATTTCCATCGTGGCATTTCCAGTCTGAAAAGTCTTCCCATCTCGTTTATCTTCCGTTCTTCGGATGTACTTTCCTCCGAAATTACTCACTTTCCACTGCCTGCGTCTTACATGTTATCTAAGTGATGTTCGGATATTGTATTATTGCTCTAACCACCCCTGCCAAACTCCTGAAAACTGTAATTCTCATCAAAAGTCTAAGTCGACGTCTGAGGCATTACCGTTTGATTTGTTGACGTAGTGGACGTTCCACATTCACGCTTTTGGAAACACATTGATTATATTTGATCCATTGCTAGCAAGTGACGTGCTCGAGTGTCGTACGTTTATGTCTTTAAATTTAAACGAAGTACGTATACTTGTGAATCGGTTTGTCAAAACGCAGATTAGCAACCCTATTCTGCACCACAGTGAGAGTTGACCGCCTCATGCACTCGAACTAAACAAAGTCCAACAATGAAGAAGCAAGTTCTTTTTCTTCTCTCGTTTCCCACAGGCTCGAATGAAGGATAGTCTGGTGACCGGTCTCAAATTCACCAAGATTCGTGAATACGAACTGGCTTGGGTGGAGGCGGACATTGTCGACGCGGATGAGTCTTCCACCGACGACCCCATGGAAGGCGTCGACGGGGAGTCCCACGCCAAAGTCGCCTCCGACGCTCTTCCCGTTCTCGTCCCGGCCAGCGGTCCCGTAGCCGACCACGCCACCGTCTTCGTCAATGAGCCCAAGCTCTCCGACGTAGGTGGCCTTTGCTCTCACCTAGTCACCCTGACCCTCTATGATGTTGTCGACTTGTTGTTTTCTTGTAGATGAAACAGATCCTCCTCAACCAGGGCCTGTCTGCCGAGTTCGTGAGCGGGGTTCTCGTGGTGGATAACTGCGTGGCGATCAAGCGCACAGAGACTGGACGACTAGTTCTCGAGGGGATGCTCTCGCCCACTTACTACAACGTTCGCGCCGTCCTCTATCGGCAGTTCGCCATTCTGTGAGGCCACGGCACCCTCGTTGGGCTTGTTCATTTGCCCTCCCCGCTGTACAGAATTTTGTAAACTTTTAACATCCGAAATCAAAAAAAATGCTACAAACAAATCGTCATTGGTTTCTTTTTGTAAAATCATGGGGTGGTTGCCTACGTAAGAAATCCCATTTTCTGTTTTAAGTTGATACGGTGGCAAGATGTTGAAGTCGAATTTCGACAAGATTTTGAAGGACATCCAAGTGCTCAACAAACGCATGCGAAACCGGGAGGCGATCGCGGACGACCTCTTGAGCAAAGTCGGAACTGTCCAATCACAGCTTGATTCAATGCGATCGGTAAGATGCACGACCCCCCGCCCCCTCTCCCCTCTTACTGCCCCTTTTCCCTACCCATCATCACGCAGATTTGAGGCTGCTCTAATGTTCTGATTTTTGAATCACCCGCACTCTCGCCAATCTTTGTAGGTTTTTGGCTTTTTTTCGCATCTCAGTTACGCGATGTTTCAAACTCGTTGAGTAATGCTGGATCTGTAATAGGCTACTTATTGTTCTACGTGTGATTTTGGCGTAATTGTTTTGCTCAGGGTGCGTAATGGTGATTCACTGTCAAGCGAGACGAGGCGCAGCCGTGAAATTGATGTAGCCAGGCTTGGACCACATCTGAGCCTTGTCACGTGAAACCGAGCATTCTTGGTTTACGTAGAAGTGATTCCTTTGACTTAGATGTTGTTTTCCCTCATTTGCATCATCGGCACTAATTGAGTCCTGTTGGGGGCCTTTTTAAACGGCACTCTTCTGATTGAACGTTGCGTCTTGATGCCAAGAAACCGTTCCCCAAGGCGAGGCTACGGGCAGCACATCTCTCCTAATCGATACTGGCACATCTCGGGATCGTTTGTTCCTCGATCGCCCTCGTAGTTTCCTTCTAAAACAGTGATTAAACAGTCCACCCAACGGCTTCGGGCGAGAGTCGTGCGGTGTTGTGTCTGTCCGTGACCAAAAACCCACGTCCCTAGTACCAACGCACCCGTCCACAAGTGCCGCGGGCGTACTTGACCTCAATTATGGTAGTTCAAGAGCGATAAACTCTTTCAGTTGGTGACCTTGGCAATGGTGTGACCACTGAGGTGGTGTAACTGGGTTGATTATGTAAGCAGTTGCATGTTCTCAGTTGCTTGAAGAACCGTCTTGGACATTCTGCATAAGCGTATCCACTAATAGTCGCATCCCCCCAACCAAGCCTTGGTGCTTTACAGGGGCTTCACAGCCGTTAGTGGAGTCCTGCGGTGCCGTGGTATAACATTATCCCACTATCCATTCTCGGCTTTTTTCTTTCATTACCTCTTGGCAACGAGAATCAGAATTGATCAAGTAATTTTGTGTTAACACCTCGAACCGCACATCACGTCTATGATCCCACAAACCTGACAGCATTGTCTGCGGTTTACGCTATATTTGGTTGTGTCTGTTTGCCCTCATTTCACCTGTTGTCTTCAGTACCAAGAGGAGCTGTTGGAGTACGCGGATATCGCTAAACGCGTAGAAACCAACCCTCGTAAGCAGCTGATCCTGTCCCTCGCGGCCGAGAACAAACAGATCGAGCAGCTCAAGGTACAGAACAAAACCCTCGAGGCCTCCCTTGAGGAACACCAGATAACTCTGGAGATGATCATGTCCAAGTACCGCGAACATGTGAGTCCTTCTTTTCGTTCCATCTTGATCTGTTCCAAGCGTAATGCCAGTTCATGCAGAAGCCAACATTTCCGGTGCTGATCTGATCCTCTCTTGTTGAACTACCGGAACGATCCAGGTGATCGTTTCGAGATCATCGTTTGTAGAAGCATCCGTGTGTGTGTCAAGACGCCGAATCGCTCTTCATCGAAACAACCCCAGGAAAGGTTGCTAACAAACTCCGGCCTTGTTTCCCATTCTTAGTTAATGCTGAATTAATGATTCAAAATATGATTACCTGTGCGTTTAAATGTTATGTAGATCGCTAGCCTGATGCAAACCAATGAGACAGAGAAGAAAGCCAATCAGAGGAGTCAACAGGAGAAAGCGAGTCACCGTCGCGGAAAGTCCGACGGCGAATCTCCGACTCCTCCTCCGCCTCCTCCCGCTGGTCAGCAAGAGCGCGCTCTCGTGGACGAACGACTCGCGGTCATGGCAGCCATCGCGCAAGAGGTCTCGGAGCAGTCCGAGTCGTACTCCAATGAGCTGGAGATGGAGCTGCATCGATTGCGGGCGGAGAACCAGACCCTACGTGAACTCCTCGCCATAAACACCAACACACAGCTGCGGGAGGGCAGCTCATCGCCCCGTCCAGGCCCCAGGGGCCACGTTGCGTCCAACTTCTTGAACAACAGTAACAACAGCAGTGGCTGTGGCAGTTCCGACGAGAGTTCAACCTTCGACGTCGAGGAAAGCGTGACGACATATCCGTTCCGAGTCAGCGGCCATGCAGGCGGAAGCACCGCCGCCAGCTAGGCTCGTGTTGAGCGCGCCATTATGTGGAGGTGGGGGGGAGAGAGGTTACTCATTTCTCTGAATCTTATATTATTCATTTCTTGAAAAAAAAACACGCACCGTCTTTTCTATGTAGTCTGCGTCAATGCGTCGTGGTGTTTGGGGTAGGCTAGTGTGCGGTGAGATTTACCATTTCATTTTGCCATCATTGGTTGATATTGGTCAAACAGATTCCGATCGATTTCCTAATTACCATCGCCTCCAATCGGATTTACGGGAATTGACAAACGGGCACATTGAAGGACTAGCCTAGGGAGCCCGTTGCTTCCAGAATTTGGTCTGTGTGTGGTAGTTTGCTGCGTTGAAACCTTGATGGAAGCCTTAGGGGCTAAAAATTCGGCAAACGTTTGAAGGTACTTCGAGACTCGCAACTGCTAAAAGCGAGAACGATGCGATAACGCTCTGGACCTAGTGTATTTACGCGTTGTTCCCGTGTTGGCACCCTTCCGAAATAACCAGAATCCACAAAATCTTTTTTCTGACCCTTAAATCCACGTTTCGGAGAGTCAAAATCCTCATTTTTATTGGAGAACATCTTTTGAATCTGTCGTGACAGAACGTCAGCTTTCGAAACACGCTACCTCCGTTCATCAGGACCGGAATCACTCCGGTTACTGCGCGCCAGATTACCTACTTAAGATTTGGTTTGACCCCGAAATCTACATGCTAGCCTGAATGTCAATGTTGCTTTCAGTGAGCTAAAAATTCTGAAACAGCTAGCTGTTTTTTTTCTAATTTACGGCGATCGGACCTAATTACTGCCGATTCACTTCGAAATCGGTCCGAATATGTCATGCGTTTGGTCACAGTAATCCAGTTAAGCTTTCGTCATGGTAATTTGTAAAAGAAGCATTCGAGGGACTTGCTCTACTCTAGAAAAACGCTTTAGTGGGTTAACAGCGATCATGCCCGAGTGAGCCCTATTTGCTGACCTCACGGCGACAATGACTCATCCTCTTTTCATTTCAAACTTATCAGACGCCTGTCATCCGTTTACTCGTCCCCACACTAAGACAGACTCTTATCGGGTTGTTAAATAGGGGGTTATAAGGTAGTGCTAAATCTCAAGCCACTACAACTCCTCGTTGATATCGGTCATAATCACTGACGATGTATTGGGGCAATTCTCCCCCTGAGGTTACATCTGCGTCGGATCAGCTCCAGACTGACGCAACACACGCCAATGTCAAGCCACCTGATAGGTGGTTCCTGGTTACACTTATTTACTATCGACGTGATGCAGTCCTGTTTCAGAACAGTGTGTTCCTAAATTGTTCCTTGAAGGTGCATTCGTGCCTCCTCGAACACTCGTAACCTCAGATGGTTATCGTTCATCATGCCGCCAGTGGACTCTGCTACAAGATAAACCTCAATTTGAGCACAGTCCATTTCATGTCAATTTGGCTATCACTACTCAACATTCTGAATTAGAGCCTAGCAGTTGCCACAGCAAACATCTCTGTCTAGCTACAATTTCCAGGACATTGTGGATGGTAATGTTGTAGGGTTGTAGGATTGTACAAGGGTACGCTGGCACCTACGTCTTACAGAAAAGCCCCCTAAATCACCACCCAAGTTAAAATTTTAACAAAACTTCCGACTATTTGATTCTAACGTGGTTGATGCAGACTAATCAGATTTTACTCAGTTTTTCAAAAAAAAGGCAGAAAAAGTGTTCATGGTTGCGTCGCGGGAGTTTTAAACAATGTGTTTGGCGGAGCTTCAAGAGTTGAATAGTCTGGCGGTAGTGAGTCCTGTGAATGAATCGATCCGCAGCCTTGGCGTCGGTTCTCCTCCGTCGGAGGTCGTGGTGAGAAGGGCGTTGCGGGTGGGGCTGTTGAGTCGAAGAGCTTTCCCGGAGCCGAATAGAATCGCCTTCTTGGTGGCGGATCAGACCCCGGAAATGGTGGCGGTGGTGGTAGAACGCATTCGCTGTAGCCAGGCAGCCGCGGAAGAAGACTTGGAGGCATCAGCTCGAAAAGGGAGAGACGGCGTCGAATGTAGACATCTAGAAAGAGACTCTTGGTACGCTCAGGAATTAACTAATAAGCGATTCTTGAGTCTCTTCGTGACTCTGAGTCAAGATAAGTTGCCTCTTCAAAAAAAAAGCCTCAAGTTCTATTTGAGCGCAGATTGTACGAAACATGATACAGTTTTAACTTTGTGGCACCCGACTAACTGCAAGTTAAATAAATTTGTAAAAAAAAAACATACTGGGGGGAATTTCGGGGATGTGAATTATTCTCCGAAGAATTTACCCTCTGTGGGTCAGGCGATAACAGCAGTTCAAGTCGACACAGACTGCGACAATGGTCCAGACAAACACCATCAACAGGAAGACCGATAAAGAGATGAAAATTGCCCTAAATAATTTTTTGCAGATGAAATTAATGATAAGACAGCGGTACTACGCGTCTAGGGATTTGCACTTCTACGTGCATTGAAGGCAGCAGATGATTTGGCGAAAATCGATTTCGATCGATTTTCAAACCACCGTTACGTGTAAGCGGATTTGCCAATGTCGAGGACTCGGAAGTACACTGGAGTTATTCGAGGTCAACGCAATGTCAGGAGAAATTTGTAGATTAATACCGCATCTAGTCAGCGCATGTTCTCAGCCTGTTATTGATAATAATCTGTTGGGAATGAGTAAATGTTTGATGAACTAAGGCTGAGACATTTGAAGTATTAATGTTCTCAATGCTTCTCAGACTGAATTTTGCACTTATTTTCCAATTTGGATGAAACGTTTGAGGTGGGACACAATTTTGACATTCGCGTCTACAGCTTTGACCTAAAATTGCAATATAGTGGGTCATATGAAGGTCAAATCACAATGTTCGCCCATCACGTTTGTTCGCAAACTTTAACGCTCTTTTGAACCAACTTGGCTTTTAGTATTTTCACGGAATTATTCTCGTGACAACGTGCACCTTGCAATACAACAGACATCAGTGAGTCTTTAAGTTGAATTTTTGCTTCTACTTTGACATATGGACATGTGGTTTTATTGATGTGAATGCACAAGTGGCTGGTGTGGGTGCTGATGCTTGCACATTTATGAACGATTTACAGACCACGATGGATGTGTGGCCCAGATACGGATTTCGAAACAAATCGCCCGTTAGCTGTCAACTTAGCTGCTAAAACCAGCGCAACTGTTCTCTCGATGTTAAATCACTTGTCGTCTTTCGTACGCAAACTAATAGCGCCTTCAACAATAAAAACTTTACCTGTATAAAGTAGAAAACTTTTTCAAGTAGGGTAAGAAAATAATCAAGGAAACTAGAGGGTCAGTGTTAAAAAAGTATTTAACATGCAAGATTTTTAATTAAGCAGGCAGAAGACATTGACAAGTTTAACGCAATGGTAGTTATTTACGTCTTCTAACGACTTCCTCTTCGTGGAATGGTCTGTTCACCCATTTGACACAGTCTGACGTGTGGTGGAAATGTAAATTCTGGTGGAAAGTTTAATTTCGATTCAATGCGTGTTGGATGAATTCTATGTTTTTGACAGCAAGTGGTTTCTGTGTTTGCTCCTGGTGCTAGAAAAGACAGATGTCGCTGGGCAAATTTGCATGGATCGTAAAGGAGGCTTCATTACCCCACGAGCACCATTAAAATGGGTTTACTGATTTTAACGGCGAAAATTTCGAGTCTTAATGACGCACCCTATTCCAAATCACGTAGTTAGAGTTGGCAGAATAAAGCATCTGGAGACGATAGAATAAAATCGACTTTATAATCAAGATCAAACGACTCTGCGTAACTCCTCAAGACGGCAATGTGGAAACTCTGACGAGTTCTCAATTCTTTCAGATTAGAATCTTTCTCCTACTCTCCAACCAAATTCTTGGCATGAAATTGGACAAAGCTGAAGGTCTTACGAACTGGTTTGGCAACAACTTCAAGACTAGACCAGGAGACTATTAACGCAACCCTGTCGACAAGATTGCGCAACAGTGGAAGGAAATCGCAGTTAATGGATGGTTGAAGTATAGTTTATTTCTCCTGAAATTGCATTTTTAAACCTGCATAGAATAAAAAGATCGGCCCCTAATGCGTCAGAACAATGCAAAGCTCACATCAGAAATGAATCTCAATTTACATGTGCTTGGTAACCGCCGACTAGCCGAAAATGAAGTTTTTTAGCAAATTACAGACACAAATAACATTAACTTCGGATGTGAAGGTCAGCGGTGGCATTAAAACGGTTCGTTTCTACAATCTCAGTGGCCAGCCACCCGCATAGGCTGCTTCAACGGCTTAAGGTCGCCAGTGAGTCTTGCACGCGTGTCTTCATGATGCCGATAGGAAAACGGTGAACGCACAAAACGGGAATGCCTTAGCTTGAGGAAGAGGTTCCAAGTAAGCCTTCTTTTCGTGGCCTCATCTTCCAGCTGTCACTGAAACGGAATTATTTGTTGAATATACCCACATATTCAGACTGTTCATCGGCGTTGCCAAACTCAAACCAACTTGGATGGAAATCAACTGCAGATTTTCAACCGAAAGGCGTGTGTGCGTGGCAGATTCAACAACGTCTCCGCAGTCAAATCGCGATCCAACGATGCCTAATCACCTAATTGCTCTTCGACGACGATATATTGTCCTGTTCATCTCAGAACCTTGTGAATATCTAGTAGGAGGCAAAGGTTTTGATAGTCGGTACACATAATTACCTCGAGCATCTCCTGCCGACGTCCGCCTCGTCTTAGATGCTGAATTTGGCTGCTAACTGTTCCTCCAAGGCCTGAAGAAAACATTATTGACTTGGATAAGTAAATTTCTCTCTAACGTATCACAATTTGACTTTAATTTATAGATTATTTAAGGATCCGATCACTTATCACTTGGGTAGTGTGTAATAGATTAAAAGTGCCTGAATACAATCAACCTTTCCTTGAAGGCAAAATACAGCATTTCTGTTTAGTCAGGAATGAAGACAGATCCGATTACTCAGAACTTGCATTTACTCAAATTAAACAGCTTTTGTATTAAAAAATTGACTCTTCAGGCTTAAAAATAACGCAGCTAATCGTATTCAAAAAAGACAATTTCGTTTAATCGTCACTTTCTTCCCACAATTTAGGAACTTTATGTAACTTTTTTTATTGTTGAGGATGGATTTTAGGGATATTCATTATTTTGTAACAAATTTTGACCATCTTGTAAATGTGGCGCTTTCTACGTTAGGTTGAATGGGTGCCATTTTGTGGGCCTTGTTTGGAGATTCACGTCAAATGATTCAGGAGATCTCGTTGACGATTAGAAATCCCGTGAAAGTGAGGTCCCCTACTGTCTCCACTTGGGTCCAGCTGCAGGTTTCAGCCCTGCCTCCGGGCCTTTGCACTTTTCGCCACAAACTCTTCACCATCTTTCATTCAAGTGTGCGATCCCGATTGATATAACATATTTTGGTTTGGGCATCATCAACTACAGGAGATCGAACGGAAAGGCCTTGGTCAAATTTGAGTTAAAGTCTCTAGAAACGAATCGTCGAATTCAGTTCTACCGCCTGTTTTCTCTCTGCTAATCGAGCTGGGTGCAAATTTTTGTTAAAAACGCATAAATCCTTTCCTCAGAGTATGAGCAGTGGGCCAAATACACCACGATCTCACAGTCAGTACCATTCAATAATCCTAAAATGGTGAAAAGCAAATCAGCACACTCCCAAAATATATTTTACTCGTAAAATTAATTCAGTTGGTGGGATAAAAACCGCACGATTTATTCGTCCGAGACACGTACAAACAAAGTGTTTGCTGGGTCAGTTCGATAAATTAGAAACCGATGACATGGAGGGCTACTAAGTATCAGAGATGGAGGTTTAATTCTTCTAAATTAAGACCTAATGAATTTGCTTGTGTTTATTTTCAAAAGATGGCAAAAAATTAACTTTAAGAAATTGTTCTTTAAATCCCTGTGGATGCGAAATTAACATGACATTCGTTTTCTGGAGATCTTTGTATGAAATGGACTTGGAGTGAATCCTATTTACCAATTTAGTGAAACGATATTTACAGCGTGCTTGCGTACTCAGACTTATCAATAAGCTCATTGGCTTAAAGTATCAGTGCATTCGAGCGACTGAGAAACTGAATTTGTGATGCTTACACATTCAACGCTATCAGATGCAACCGGTATCCTTCTTAAAATGTGTAGCTAACACCATGTAAGTCTTGTGGTGTTTAAATTTTTTTTCCGCCTTAAATGCACTTATTTAATTTCTTATTAGCCCTCAGTGCATGTGTCCTTGGCTAGTGATAGGTGGCAGAAAGTTAAGCATTAACGACCACGCACATTAATAGTCCCATCAGAAGATCAACAGTTTGCTGAATTTTTTATATCATTTCACGAAAGATAAAAGATTACAAAATGACACCTATCAAAAGAAATGCAGTATAAGACGTCGGGGAAAATTATATGAGGCTCTGAGTGTCTACGAATAAAAAGAACTGCCCTATCCACTTTTGTGACCGGTGCTCAAGTGTTAAAGCACCTTTTTAGCCAACATTGATTGCTGTCTATGCAACCGCAGTCAGTTGCTTAAGACACTTGTAGAAAAGGTTTCATTAAATCATCTTTTCCTGTGCTCGATTTTTGTAAATTACACTTTACTTTCCGTGTCTCTAAGGATTTGTGAAAAAATGTTGAATGAAATGACTAATTCTAAGTGAAATTTGAGCAGTTTAGGGTTCGCTTCATTAAACGTGTAAAACATAGGCATTGCAGACCTTGCTTATTCCAATGTCAGATATGCGATTTAAACTTTAGTTAGAAAGATTTGAGTTCATAGAAAATAAATGGCTGAGTGCTTTAACTACACACTACGAATCGCCACATGTATTATAATGAATCTGTACCCCATCGATTAAATACACAAAATTGACGACAGAATCTTACCCTGCAGAAATACATCGAAATGTCAATTAACTTTACTACTGACAACATTTGTGCATTTAATCTCGATAATCGAAAGTATAAAAAATCGGACCACGGAAATCAGTTAAGAAAATTACGCTAAAGCCAGCAAATTTAATTTCAATTATAACACTCTTCTTATTGAACTAAGTTTTTTTCGGAATATTTTTTGCTTAAACGAATATCTTTTCTACTATTAAGGATTAGATTTGGTCTAACAGAGTGTAAAAATAAAATACAAGTATGGTTTTAATGTGATGAGACTGGGATAGATGGGTTATTCAAAGTTTATCTCAAGTAGCAATTTGGTAATGAAAAGTGTTAATGTACCCCGCGAAATTCACGTCACCTGAAAGAAGCTACTGTCCAAATAAATATTGCGCCATTCACCAACAATAAATAAATGAAACCAATTATCTCTAACCCGATGAAATTAGAGGAAAGACACTTAACATTTTATGATAAAACAAAGTTATTGACAATGGTCTTAAACTTAAAGGACGACTATTTCTGCAAATAATTACTATTTAATATCTTGAAACCGCAAGCGAAAAAAAAGATAATGTACTAAATCACATATTGACTTTCAATGATTAATGCTTCATGCAAAAGTGTATTACTCACGTAAAAGCCACAGTAAATATTGCTTTAACGATAAAAGATTTGTAATAATCGTTAATCTAGTATAACTAAAATGTGTGTGCTTTCACCACTGTGTTAATGATTTTTGAGAAGACACTATTTGGCCTTTTGCATTGACCTGAATTATTGCAGGTTTTAATTACTCTTTCATATATAGGTAGATTTAAAATACTCAGCGCATAAATAGTTGCGCCCGCAAATGGTGTGTATAATCGGTATAGCGTGATATTATGGCCAAAGGTTAAAAAAATTAAATAGCTACTTTTAGTAATTCTCTAGGTCTCTAGTTTTTATAATTAAATGAATTATTTCTTTTTAATTCTATATTATTTGATGGCTTGTGTTTCTCGTTAATGTGGTTGCTTTTTTGCATGCATACATTACTCCAATGTCTTGTTGTGACCTTTGTCTGTTAGGGAATTATTGTAATGGAAATTGTTCATTTATGCACCGTAATAAATTACTGGTCCTGTTCTTTTGCGTTTGTGTTGCTTAAGTTGTGGACCAGTTAAGTTATAAGCGCTTTATGAGACGCTGAAATTGTGATTTTTAAGTTAAATCGATGACATCCTCACCGTTTTCATCTGTCAGACTCGCGATTTCTCTAGTACTTACATTTAATATTATTGTTCATAAATTTTAGGCCTGGGTACTTCTTGTGTTGATGAATATTTCTCATATCATTTACATGTTTTGGCTTAACTGCACACATGCCATATTCACTTAAAAATATTCGCGGTAACCATGTTTATTAAAGTACCTGTTAATAATTTTCCTAAAATAGCTCTTCTTGCAGAGTGATAGTGATGTCATTCGGATCCCAAATGGCATCGCTGCCGTTGGTGAATTCAGCTCTCGCCTGAAAGATCAGATCCCCCTAGTCAGTGGCGGTCTCGGTAAAAGACGGTTCACAGACTCTTTTGAACACTTAGCCAGCATTGTGAGGATGAATAAAGAAACCGCGTATGCCGGGTTTCTTCGACGCACCTTCGTTTATATCTCCACGATATTTGCTGCTGGATTCGCATTCGGCGTGGCTTTTGGATTCATATTTCGGTGGTACTCTGAGGACCGTTCCAGCCAACTGAAGTCTGAGGTTCAGACTATTCGCCAAGAACTCGAGCAACTTCGAAAAGAGTTAAACGCGGATTCTTCTACACGTAAACGCGTGATTCCGGTATGGCCTTTTTGGTGGCTCCCTTTACGCCTCAGTGTAGGTTACTTTCGATGCTTACTTCGACGATGACGATGAAGGTGCAGATGAATTCTTTGAGGCCGTGAGCACAGTGAGTAGGTGAGCTCTCAGCTAAAACGCGGGATCTCAGTGCAACGCCGGATTCTGTGACAACACAATTGCTTTATGGCTTTTAGCAAGGACAGCGGGGACTTTTTTTCACCTGCTGGCTCTCCCTCCCCCTCCTCCTCATCGAGTTTTTTGGGCATTCGCTCGTCAGCTTCTCCTTCCGGAGTCCCTCTACCCCCCAAAGTGGCCGAAGAACTTGACCAGCTTGCCGCGACCGCTTTGTCTGGCACAGACGAACCAGATCTTGCAAGTCAGTTATTCTCGCGATGTCTCGCCTACAAAAAGCAGGTTCGTGGTGCTTTATTACACACGTCTCTTCCATCACGGTACTTTTGATATTGTTTCTAATTCCAGCATTTAGTTAGAAGTAAAATGCGGCCGTTATAGTTGTTGATTAAACTGCAAAAAATTTTAAATTATTGATTACGTATGGTGTTACGGTAGTTCGGCACGCCGTAATGTATGTTATGCTCGTTGTTTTGTTGCCAAACGAAAGCACAAACCATTCTCTGTCACCTTAACCGTACTTTTAAAGACGTGGGGGTTGTGTATTACTGCTCTTGTAGTGAATCGTGTTGATTCACGTCCAGTAACCCAGTTGTCGCATCTTCCAGCATACGTTCCCCCGTCAGTCACGTGAGGCTGCTGGTTCATTAACCCATCTGCATGTACCCCCACCACCACCACCACCCGCTTTAGTCATGTGACCTCATAGACGCCTTTTTTTACATGTCCACTCAACTGTATAAGTACACGACACAACTTGGTTGAGCTGCCTAGTAAACGGTCGTGTCCGCCATCTCTGGACTTATTTCCTTCCTGGGTCACTTCGTGTGGTAAAGAGCCTCAACACTCTCTTCTTAGACCAGTCTCAGGATTCCGTGTTTTTTTGTTTTTTTTTTGAACACACTGAAGTGGCAATCGCTACTCCTGCCATCAGACGGCAACCCTTCGCACGACGCCTTGCGAACATTTATGAACAAATAACTAGCTTTACTAACCGGTGGACGATTTTTGTGCAGTACAAACGTTATCCCGACTTCCTGTGGCGTTTCGCCCGTGCTGCCTACCTGGTGTGGAATGACTTGGAGCGAAACCACGCGCAAAGCACAGCCACCTTCGCCAGTCCCATGCTGCAAACCGCGAGTCAGTTTGTCGACGTTGGACTGTCGATCTCACGCCGCGCTGTTCAGCTGGCAGAGGAGGGTCTGGCTGCGGACGGCGTTTCAACTGAAGACGCTGCTCTTGCCTACAAGTGGCTCGCCATCTTCGTTGGTCTCACCGCCAACTCCAGCGGCGTCAATCAACGCATCCAACTTGGCTACGACTTCAAGGTAACTCGAATTCCCGCCTGTCGATTGGTTATTTTCGAATCGTTGGGGCGTCATCTTGATAAGCAGTTATTTTGATAACTCAGACTATGATCTCCTAAGTGGAAACAAACATGCAATTCTACGTATTGCCACACGTCGTTTTCATTGGTTCAACCGTCATTGCTTCATTGTCAAGGTCACTAACCGGTACTTGCGGGGGCACTCCTAGAGTTGGCCTCGTCACCACTACGTTTAAATTTATGCTTTTCCGAGATGGGCTTCTCTTGATGCCGCCCCTGGACATGACCCCGATGCGGAGTGCACTTGAACCCGTGTACTTTTTTACAGGACATCTTCGTAGACAGGAAATGACCCGCTTACCTGAGGCTTGCGTGTGTCCAAACAAGCAAATTAGTTACAATTGGGAACCATTCGGGTCTTGTGCTGTTACCGGTGAAAATTTGCCAGCGTGTTTGTTGGTACACCCGTAAACCTGGTGTACTTTATTCCATCACGGTTCGTCCAACTTGCCAAACGCCGCGGCATGTCGTATATAATGCGCATGCATGCATCATCTAGCTCCGCATTGTGCTTCTAATGACCCAGTTAAGTGCCTGCTTTTGTGGTGGCGTTTCGTGTGCCCCGGCATGTCAAAGAGATCTACTGTTTTGTGAAATTATCACCACCAACTGTGGTGGTTTTAAAACTTGGTATTTTACTGGTCACGTTGTGTACAAAACCTTCCCAAATTTTGGCGCGAAACCTACCATACAGTAATTCTCTCAATTTCATCGAAAATCGGTAAATGTACACACCGATTTGCAGTACTTAGGAGTTGTGGGGGATCAGTTCTAGGGTGGTGGTAGATTCCCTTCCCGGAATGCGACTAGGACGAGTGTGTCCGGTATGCAGAATAACTTGTAAAGTAAACCCTCTAGAACTAAGGGCTTAACCATTGGTTCATTTCCAGGGCCTTAACAACCAATTAAACTGCTTAATTTTAACAGTCATTGACATATTGAGACAAGGCTGTGTGTTTTCGTGCTTGGAGCGTTTTAAGTGTTAGCGTATGTCACATTTGTGGTATGTTAAAAGCTTCGATTTATTACTAGGACGAGTGTGTCAGGTTAACTGAATTACCTGTGACGTAAACCGCCAGAGCCAAGGATTTAACCACTGGTTCATTCCCAGGACCTCAACAACCAATAGAATCAAGCGATTATGGCACGTCTTGTACAAATTTTTGACTCATTCACAATTCGCAATTAACTCTACAATCACAAATAATTCTAGAGTCGCGCATCTACTGAAAATGATTTGTGCTGGCGTTTAGTGAGGCAATCAGAACAGTAAACGACTCGTCAACCTGGAAGAACATGGTAAATGGTGCAATTTACACGTCTTTTCGTTACCTTTCACGACCAAAATGTGTGCTCAAGACGCCGCTTAAGTAAAAAGGTCCAAATTCTTACAGGGCACAATCTTTAGGCGTTATCTTGCTTCTAAGTGTACTGCTGCTATGTCTCTTAGTGCTGTTAGGTGCTAGCTTTTATTAGCGCTTGTTGACCCAGTAGAGGCGTCCACTTTGCTTCGGGTCTTTCAACTTCACAGTTTCCACGTGCCCCATCCTCTGCCACCGGATCTGGACTTTTTAAATCACTTGTAGCCCACCGCAACATGGAGTCATGCTCTTTCGTCCATATTTTAGAAGTACATTGATGCGTCAATCGAATTGAACCCCGACGATGCTTACTGCCACCTCCTCAAAGGTCGCTGGTGCTTCGAGGTACGTTTCACAGCGTGGGATTTCTTTTTTTGCGACGACAGAACCTCCCCTACACCACCTATTCTTGTCCGTTAATATCTGAAGCCTCGTTCTGATAGAAATATGTTGGCATATTGGGAGTGTGTTGTTAAAATAGTTTCCCTTGCTAGATTTTGCACCACCACTACTGCTACAAACCAACTCACTTGTCACCAGCACATCTGCGATTGACACTGTTGCGGGCAGATCTTACTTTCATTGCCAATTCGTACAGTTATGTTGTTTCCAGGTCTACAATTTGACATGGTTCGAACGCCAATTTGCTTCACGGCTCTTCGCAACTCCACCATCGGCAACCATCGAAGATGCAGTGGCCGAATTTCTTGAGGTCTGTCTACATTGGCGTAATCACAGCCCCAAATGACACGCCTTTGTCAATCCGACCTGTTTTGTTTGGAAATGATCTTTAGGTGGAGCGACTTCAACCGAATCACTGGGCGACCAATCAGGTGTACTTGGCGAAGTGCGAGTTTTCTCGTTCCAGGTACGTGGAAGCAGTTAAGTGGATCACCAGTGCCGAAAATCTATTGAACATGTCCGCGGAGGCAGACAAGGTCGAACTTGGCGATGCGGGTGACAGAGAAACCCTTTTGGGGGAAATAGCGACACTGAAACCACGATATGAATCATATCTTCCCAACTAATACCTTTAACCCCCCCCCCCTTAACGTCGTCTCTTCACTTCTGTTACTAGTGTGAATTTTTGTTTTTTTTTTTACATAGGTTCAAATTTAGCCTTTTTATCAACTTTGTTTTTCTGCACAAAGTGGGGCTGCCCCACGACCCGTCCTTATTAATAATAAAAAAATTTCCTCTTACGAAGAGTTCTTTGGAGTTTAATATCGAATTTGAGGAGTAATCACTCTGAGAGTGGAATTATAGGTTGGGTAGTCGTAAGTAAAGCAGCGCTGTGTGTAGGGAAGATGTACTTTGGCCTTGGAAATGCAGGTTTGATGTACATTAATGTTGGGTCTGTTGGTGATGAAATTTTACTATTTGGGAATATAATGAGCTTGTACGTAATTGCCAAAAATGATCCGACTGTGGGTGCATCTACTAATAGGAACGATTTAGAATGTCGAATTTTCCTTACATTCCACGACGAATGTAGCTCGTCACATTTTATGATTTTGTTGCGGAAGGCCAACCGTTTATTCGAGGACCTGACCAGGTCATCGTCAGGTGTGTGTGTGTTGCGACGGTAAAAACCTTTTTTTCTCGTTCGAGCACTCTGAAAGGTCCGTCGTAGATGGGTTGAAGTGGATGACGAAAGGCATCGCGTTTGTTGAAGACGTGAGTGCATGTGGACAACTCTTTCGAGGTGAATGAATTTAGTGTACTATGAGCTCGACTATGTCGCCTTCAGTTTGTTCATTGTCTTGTAATTGCTCAATGTAGTTGCATGGGTCCAGCCATGCGGATTGGGAAGTAGCGGTGAAAAGTGCCCATGTAGTCTCAATGCTGTTCCAAAAACCATTTCAGGAGAAGAACACTTCAAATCTTCTTTTACGGCTGATCGAATGCCGAGTAGTACGAGAGGTAACGCATCAGTCCAATAAGATGGGTTAATGTGCGCTGGTAAATCGGCTTTCAGTTGTCGATGAAAACGTTCTACCATGCCACCTGATTGCGGGTGGTAGGCAGTCATTCGATTACAGCTCGTCCATAAATGTCGCATGAGATTTTGGAACAGGCTTGATTCAAACTGAGGTCCTTGATCAGTGATGATGGTGGAGGGGACTCCAAATAATGCGATTTATCTATCCACAAATGTTTTTCAACGGTTTCACCAGAGATATCTTGCATGGGGAATGCATCTTGCCATCGGGTGAAGCAGTCGACTCAAGTCAAAAAGTAACGGAAACTCTTCGAATGGGGCAAAGGTCCAACAATGTCGGTGTGTATGTGATCGAACCTAGCATCACGAACGTTAAAAGTAGCCATGAGGAGTCTTGTTGCATTTATCAAATTTTGTTATTTGACAGCTTACGCAATTTCTAGCCTACTGTATGATATCTCAATGTATAGCAGACTAAAAATAACGAAATGAGATCAGCTTCCGTGCTGCCCGTTGGCCAGGATGAGGAAGACCGTGAAAAACTTGGAAACCTTGGCGTCACATCGTCTTAGGAATGAAGGGACGTAGCACTTCCTTTATATAGTTGCACACGATTTTACATTCAGATGAAGGTAGAGGGGCTTCAAGCGGCTTTAAGGCTGTTGCGGCGCCATATACCACTAGCCTCCCAACAAGGATTAAGTCTGCGGAAGAACGTAGAGTCAACTGTTTATCCGAGGACTTGGTCGGGTAGCCGTCAAATGAACAACCACTCAAACAAAATCAAAAAAATTTTAATAAAGTTCTCCAAAAACGATCCAAAATGACATTTAAATTAATTTGTAATTGGTCGTAAGTAACATCAACATGATATCAGAACTTGAAAAATGCAAACAAAATGTCCACAAAGAGTTGATAAGATAAAATTAAATCTATGGAACTTTCAAATAAAGCTGGACATCTTGTGCCTTAATATCAATTAACGCATGTCTAAAGCACAAAACAATTATCAATGGAGGTCAATGAAATCCTATTTTTGATCATGGCAGAAACGGAGGCGATTTTTAAATATTCTTTGACACAATTGCTATCTATTTTAGGTACTTTGTTAAGAGATCGGGAGAAATTAATGTCAAAATAAATCAAATGCCTTTTATTATCAATGCAATTTTTGTGGCTACTTTTTCAAGAAATAAATCTGCGTAACAAAATATAGCTTTTAAGTTTTTAACTTTTTGAATCATGACAGTTTACAAAAAATTGTACTATCATCTGTTGTAGACATGCTTTCATTTTAAATAGTCAATTGTGTTTAATTTAGAGGTTACGTTCTAGAGTCATTTATGAAAATGTTGTTTCTGTCGCACTATTGTAGCTTTGATCATTAGGCACATGAAAAATTGTTCGTTTTAAATAAAATATTTTATATTCTATTAGAGGTAATCAATTTTTGTGCGAAAATTTCGTGTACTTTGTTAAGTGTATTTACAGGTTAGGGGGAAAATTTCACATTGCATTGATTGTACACTCGTTTTATGAGAAATAAGTCTTTTATCCAACACCCAATATTTATATGTCTAATTTTACTTGACGGTTAAGTTTAAGGCCTAGTTGTATGAGTATTTGCATGGTTTTGTTTGTCATTCGTTAGTTTTTCTTAAAAAACAAAATGATTTTTTCCTTTTTTAGTAAAGAAAGCATGCATTAAAGCCCTATATTTTGCTGTAATGTTATGCAACATATATACTTCTGTTCGGTGTCTCGACTTCTTGTATTTGCATCATCAGTCCTTAAAAAACCTTTTACTGAATCTCTGAACACTTGCATTATATGCAAAATTAAGTTGCTTTTAACGGTTCATGGTTATCAACATTATCTGTTTTCTTACAACTTTTCGCATTGTTTGCCTGGTTAATATGTGTTAATGTTTTTCCTGGTTTGTTATCTCTCTTATTTTAGGATTTGTTTCAACTTGAATTCTTTAGCTTCATTAATATTTTGAAGCAAAATGTTTGCCACTAAGATTAGAATCAATTACTGTCGGAATCGCGCGAAACTCCCGAGGCAAATATTTGGCACCGTTTTCAAACTTCATTTTTACC